ATCACTTAAGAAGGTTTACTTAGTAGTTAAGATGTTATCTGCAGCTGACAGACTGCAGCACTAAACCTAGGGTTTATATAAAAAAGAGGATAACATTCTTGGCATCACTCCACCAGGTATCATCGCCTTACACGTCAGTTCATTGTAAACTGTCAGAAACGTCTAGCTAAACGGCTTGGCTCACTGCTAACTCAAACAGGATTTGTGCAAATAAGAGAGGGGCATTAGGTGCTGTTTTTCTTTTTTTTTGTTGTTGTCAATATGATCACTTTATTCTTACTAATTAAAACAACAGGAAAAGAAACGGAACTCACATTTCCAGGAAGGAACAGAAGCAGACATCATCAAGAAGGCCTTTCCTGAAATTACATCCCAATTTGTATTCATGATAAACTCATGTTTTTTAGGGTTTTATCCATCTCCTTTACTTCAGGGACAAAAAAAACAGTGGTTTTCGGAGCTATGAAATCTTTCAGTTACATTTACTGCTGATTTTTGGAAAATCACTGGCAATAAGAGGTTTAACATGCTATAGGAAATGGATAAACATGATTTTTTTCAGCCTGAGCTGGATTTTACTTGACATTACGAAAAGTGAAAGCAATTTTCTCACTGAAGAGTAAACTTGAATCCATCATCTCCTTGATGAATCTGCTTTGGTCCGTTTCTATTGTCTTCAAAGCTAAAGCTTATTTCTGTTACTCTGTTATTTTTTTCACAAAGTCAGTTGAAGGAATCCTGCACCATAAAATGCTTTTCTATGAAACATTGTGTTTTCCTTTGCTGTAGGTTTTCAATAACAATAACTCTTGCAACTACACTACTGTACAGTATGTCTCCTTGTTGCGATCATTTGCCAATTTCCTTAATTACAATAATAATCTCTAAGAAAGCTGTAAATTGTCTGAGTCATTTTCCTTCTGCTCTTGGCAGTGCAATTCATATCATTGCACCAGGTTACAGTCGCATGCTTCTGAAGGCTTGTATCAGCAAAGGTGTGACTATTGAGATCCCATTTATATTATCGTTCCTACTTCTCCGACTAAAGGAAAAAAAGGATAAAGAAATTGAAAACATGCATGGTACATAACATCCCACAAAACAGTATTAACTGAAGGAACCACTACCTTATTTTCAGATGTACCATAAATTGTGGTCAGTTCTATAAATACTACTTAAGGATGGATAGAAATTTGCAGCTTTTTATTTTGATATCTTACATGGTCGGCTGGGATTACTCGTCAAAAGACCTCACTCCCCGAGCACTATTTTCCTCCCTAGAAAACACATTGAATATCAGTCTAAAATAGTATACAGATAAAAAGACCTTAGATTTTTTTGTTTTCAGTCATCTTCAGCAAGCTTTTATAAAACGTTTTCAGTTTATATATCGGACTATAATATTCAGCATACAGTATGTATGACATGATCAGCTACATTTAGAACCCATACACTAAGTAATCCGTTCTTCACACTCCCTTAAGAAAGTCTGAGTATTTGGAAGAGTGATGTTATCATAACTACGAAAACTCAAACTGAAGGAGATGTGGACATGCCTTGATTAGCCTGCAAAGACTACGATAAACTCAGTATCTAAAACTAAAAGGGATGTGATTTCCTCTAGTTTTCAATCTTTCATAGGTTCTTAGAAGGGAATCGTATTTTACTAAACGTAATGTAATTATATTCACAATCTTCATCAGCCACAGCTTATGCTACGTTCTTAGCTATGCATGTGAAATATTTTTAACCTCCACCTACATCATTCTACAGGATGAGGAGATTGAGTAAAAAAAAAAACAAGTCTGGAGTATCTTGGTGTACTGTAGTCAGACGAGTACAGAATCACATTCATTTACAGTACTTTTTCTGTTGTTTTCTTTAAACAAAACGGGCCCCATAACACCTCCAACTGTTCCTCGTTTCATTTGCGCGGTGCCTACGACACTGTCATTTCATAGACAATACATTGATGCATTTTGTCGGTCCAACAATCACGCCTGTGCCGCTCTTGTGAGTTCCACTTGGGCTTTCGTAGGTGTGCATGCTAATCACGTGTTGTTTTCTCTTCATTATTTTTTTATTTCCACGACTGGCAGTACACCCATTATTTTTCGGAGCCTTACGGAAGGGAGGACGGCAGTCCCTTTAAACAGTGTAACGCCCAGCGCCTTAACAAACACGCGTCAACTCTGCTGGCCGCCGCTGGTGATAACACTCCCTGCCTCATCACAGTCTCCTGCCTCACCGTCTCCACCCTCAGACACCCCGCCCAAGACAACCCCAAACAGTCATGTGATTTCTAAACTCTCGGATCTGGAGTTGTAAGAGACTGAACGCTTGAACTCTTTTTGAAAGTTCCCCCCCCTCCCCTTTTCCGTATTCTTGTTTTTTCAATGCTGGTGAGAACGGTGGTTTTCCTTGCTGGAATTCATAACCTAAATTGTTGACACTGGATTATATACGTTCTGCTTCGTCTGTGAAGTAAGTCTTGCTGAGCTTGTGATAGTATATTATTCGTAGTGTTCTGTTATTGATACCATTAAATGTGACTTTTTATTTTACTCCTACCAGTGTTACTACTCCAGCTACTGGTATTTATAGTGTAATGGTTCTGTTATTTTGGTGGAATTGACAATTTCATGCGAGGTGTGTATGGTTACAGCTCTGGGTGGAATACAGCCCTAATAGATGGCAATTCTGTATTCTCTGAACAGAAAACGAATCCGAGGGGTAGCTGAGAGACATCTGTGACAGATTTAGTTCATACCAGATACGGCACTCGCAGGTGTCGTGTTCTGGTGAACCGATGTAAACTGAAGTTGGGATGGAGTTAGTATGTCTCGGTTTCTCTTTATTTCTTGTGCTCTGTTATCCATTTTTGACCTGCACCATTAATGTGTGTAAAAGAAAAGCGTTTCAGCTTTGTTGAGGGGCCACCTGTTAATGCGCTTTATTTGTCGCCAAGGCGCTGGTGTCGTGGGAACCGGGGAATGATCTCTGTAGGGGAGAAGGGACCTCCGATTAATGTTATGTTCTGGACGGTAATCGCATTTTGCATTATGAGCAAGTTTTTAAAATGAGGTGGATATGGTGTATTATAGAGGGTCTAATCCTGGTCTTTGACAGCCCCAACCGGGTTACTTTCAAACGTCGACTCGAATCACCTGTATTAGTTAGGGATCACGCGTACTTTACCGATCGATTAAACAGTGCTCTGTTCAAGATAATCAAGATACCTCTGGTCCTCCAGGGTTGAAGTATATTCATCTTTGAGGTTTCACATGTTCTGAGAATATCTTAATATCACTAAAAACCCGTTGAATTGATTGCTGAGTTTTTTTAGACATTACGATATAATGTTTCATTCGGACCTAGGGATAAGAACCCCCTGTGTTACCGTTAAGCTCTTATTTGTTTGCTCAGTACTATCGGAAAAGACAGGAGGCACTGAAACAAAGTTTAAAAGACCCGGTTGAAATAGAAAAACAGAAAGAAATTAAAATGGACTAATGACAATGATTAGTGAGAGTGATTACGTACTGCATTTATGTACTAATACAGCACTCGGATTCCAGTCATTCCTCTGCTAGTAAGAGACTTCTGAGAGCGGCTGAAATCAACGAACAAAGGCATTAACACGTGTTAACACTCTTGTTCCGACGTGAAACATTATGATCAGTCCGGGCAATAGGTACAGAAGTAACAGAAAGGTATTAGAACATGACTGCAACTAATTTATTCTGTGTACATACTCCATTGTCTCATTTGTCTGATGATAAATTTGAATGATAAGACAGTAAATGCATGTACAGTATACTGCTGCACTGGTGCAATACAAAATACTGGTGCTCGTTATTGATCTTTGTCGCACAGCGCTCAAGTGTGGTATGATACTGAATAAACCGGCGCAGTGGTTTCTGTAGGGACATTGCCGACACTGAGACCTGCAATTATTTTATTTGAAAAACACTGGTTTTTAAAATAAAGTTGGTGGAGGTCACGGAATTGGGATTGTTCTTCTTTGACTATCCATCGGGATTGAAGTCTTGTTTGGGGGGGGGGTCTGATTGTGGTTTATAAAAAAATATACTTTTTTTTAATTGTGAATGACATTTCTATTGTTGATCAGACCAGATGTAAGTTGCTTTAAAGGATCGATACAGAAACAAAAATACGTTGTGAAGCTTTAAGTTAATTGTTGTATCAAAAATCTCGGTGGTGATTTTAACTGTGATGTCCCACCCCCTTCTCGTGTTGCTCCGTGGTCTGTGTTTTTGTGTACCTGGGTTCCAGCGAAAAGCTGATTCATGCTACAGTTTTCAATTATCTCTGTGGCGAGCAGGGCAGACCTGTGCCTTGCAAGTGCGGTGTTTCTCCTCACACCCACAAAGCTAACACCTCCACCCACTCTTGTTGTGCTGTGCGGCAGCTGGCGCGGTGAACCAGGCCGGTCAGCTCGCAGGCTCCGCGTCACCGCCGCTCCAGCGGGCCTTTTTCCTGTGCTTATTCTCAAGGCTGGGCTCTGCGTCAGACCTTCCCAATGGCACAAGCCGGCTCCTTTCCTGTTTGGAGTCCCGCACGGGAAGAAAGACCTGGAGGCTACCCAAAAAAACAGCAGACCCTCCACCCCCCCAACCTCTCCCTTCCGCTATTATCTGCAGGAGGAGGTCACACACACACACTCACACATGTGTTTGTGTTTCGGTACTTGTGAGGACCTCCCATTTGCTCTCATTCTATTTTTATTCGCTATCCCGTACACCGCTGAAGAGAAGCTCGGCTCGGGATACTTGTTTTTTTTTTTAAAAAACGCCATTTTCGGTCTTCACGGTACTTGTTTCCCAGGGGTTACTTATCCATGTGAGGACATTTGGTCAGGTTTGGTCCGCACGAAAAAAAAAAACACAGTAAAACCTGTGCGCATGCACCTACGCACAAAGCCTGCGTTTGTTGCTCAAGGTACGTTTCAGGCCACTGCGGGGGTAAATATTAACTTTTACCCTGCGTTTGTCAGCTCACACTGTTGCTGTTAACTACGTTCTTGTATTTGGGAAAGTCCTTTGTGGTGACTTGCTCATGCAGGAAAAGTCTCGCTTTGCTCTGGCTGCTGCCCCTTCCAGCTTTTAAAAAAAGTAATAATTTCTGTCTCGTTTCCGAAGGGAAAAAACAAGGCAGATTCATCGTGAGGGGTAGAGAGAAATTTAAAACGATCCTTTTCAAATTTCAGATCGACTGTGTGACTAATTTCACTGATGATGCACAGTCCTCCTGTAGTCTGTGAGCTTCAATGCCAGGTGGGTGACATTGAGAAACTGCAGGACTGGGGCCGTGTTTAGAGAAGGGGTCCCGTAATGGAGGACCCAGTGTGTGCCCAGGTTTTCAGTCCAGCATAATATCCCGAATCAGCTTCTTATTGGCTTTTACTAACTTCTCTCAGGCCCTGATTTCTAGTATGTAAGCACCACGGTGGGGAATTGAACATGTCATCTCCAATGCTGTAGTTCAATGGTGCGTACAATCCAGTGCCACGCTTTTCCTTTTTGAGCTGGAAATCGGCCGCTCTGTTGTGCGGCGGCGGTCGCTGCAAAATGCGTTTTGCGCCGTGTACTGTCCACCGGAGTGAAACTTCCCTCCCTCCTTTCCCAGGGAAGGTATTTGAGGCCATGTAGCTCCTGCCAGCGCCCGTACCTGTAAACAGTTAAAGTTTTGGATCATTTTCTTTTTTCAATCTCCCCCCCCGCTCCCCAAGTCTGTTCTCATCACAGGCGGCAGGCAGGGCTCGGGGCTGAGACAGGAAACGAGGCAGCAGGCCTGCGTTGATAACGCAGGGTATTGTCTGAGGGAGCCCGCCTGCTGTTTACGGGTCCCTAAGGCTTTGGTGAGAGGAAGGGAGGCCAGACAGGATGCCACACACACAAGTACCTCTCTCCACGCAGCATGGAAACACCCGTCAGTTCTGCTGCGTTACGCCGCGCTGGGGGAGACTTTATAAGCAGGACAACAGAAGAACAGAGTAGTTTACCGAGGCCATACTGCTGAATGGAGCGCACGTAAGAGTTGTACCACGGTTATTAATTGGGATATGTTTTGTCTGCAGTTATGAAAGCAATAAAAACCTAACCTTGAAGGCCTGTCGTGTTTACACCTTTCCTTTCCAACCTGGCTGTTAATAATTCAGCTCATTAATAATAGTGTTTTATGGCCCCTTCATGTGCTGGTGCTTTCAGAGGGAAACAGAGAGAAGAAAGTAATAATGTGTTAACCTCGAGTTAAAGCAACTCTGTGATTGCTGGGAATTTTTTTTGTAATCCTTCTTTTTTTTTTTGGCTGGAACTACATAAACTTTCCCTCTAACAAAGTGTCCCTTCTTCTGCACTGATAGTAACGTATGACTGCCAACAGTCTGGTCTAAAGCCTCTAAAACTTAGCCAAGACACAAAGTATTCTGTTCCAAGTGTACAGACATCATGGATATGCAGCAATATCAGATCCTTGTTGTTCAACAGCTTGGATTGTTTGGGGTGCCTTATTCTTAGTTAATACACATCTGTTTCTTGATGGCTCATCATTTTGCCTCTGCTACCATATGTTAGCATCCTTCCATGCTTGACTGAGTAAGGGAGTGCATGCCTGTGTAGGTGGTGTTGAAACAGAAACTTGGGGCTAATGGCTTGCCTCATCTCTAATTAATGCAGACACATTAGTATGTTTGGCACATGCAATGGCTGTTGTCTGTGACTAATCCAAACAGCCAGGGTGTTTTAAAAAAGGTTCTAAACATGTATGTAGGCTATACAATTAAAATCAGTGTTATGATGAGGTGTTTCTTTCTGCTAGGTTGTACTCCTGCCTGGCCTCTTGTCAGCAGTGTGTAGTAGTGGCTGGAGAAAACTGAAATTGTGACTGAAAGGCTATTGTTCAAATCCCAGGTTATAAACTTCTGATGTACATCAAAACAAAGTATGCCATTTAGGTTTCTCCAGTAAAACATGCTGTGTAATCTCTGCTGTCTAAAATGGGTCCCCTCTGGTTTAACACTGCAAATGAGAATTTGTTTTTTGTTCTTTGTTTTGTATTCTACAAAAAAGCTTGTTTGTAGAATATAAAGATTGGATTTAAAACTTTTCTTCAACCTTTTTATTGTTATATTGATGGTATTAATACATGTGTTGTACAAGGCTCTAGTGAACACCTGTACCTCTTTTTAGTGTTTGAGAGATTCTTTCGTTATGACGATTTTGTATCAGAATTGGGCGTCTGTTTTCTGTTTAACCAAAGAGATTGGTTAAGTGGACTTTGTGCGTTTAAAATAGAATGTTATCTGCTGTAGGAAAAAAAGTATCCTGCAGCAACGGTGAAGAGTTTTGGTAAGATGAATGGATATCGTTTATGCCAGTCCTAGCTGAACATATATTTTTTCATGCTTGTTTTTTATCTTAAAATTTAACACTCGTGAGATTTGTCCGATAGCATAACACCTCTTAAAGCTCTTATTGCTTTTGAATTTAACCCAAGCACCTTCTAACTGATCCAGGGCTTTCTTCATATCTTCCTTGAGTATCAAGTCTTTCTGACATATTTTTAATTAAGTCTCTTGACAAATGACCTGAAATGCTCATTGGTGATCCTGATGTGATGTGCTGCTTTACCGTCTATGTTGATGGAGTAGTTTATCTGCTTTTGTTAGCTTTACTCACTAAACAAGATGTTGTGACTCATTGGTTAAAATTAAATGTCCCTTGGGGACTATGTTGAAATTCAAACACATGGAGTAATTCCGGTTTGTTGTTTATACTGTTCGTCGGAAAGGTGTTGTTTTCAGACATGCTCTGTAGCCTATGTCTGCACTGGCAACCTGCTAAATAAACATCATCCAGGTGGGGCTGCACACTGGTGGTGGTGGAGGGGATCCCCATTACCTGTAAAGCGCTTTGAGTGGAGTGGCCAGAAAAGCGCTATATAAGCGTAAGCAATTATTGAAGAAGGCTCCACGGCCGAAACGTTGTGTTCTCTTTCTTCTTTTTTTCCAGCATGGAATAAACCTATTACTTGTTCCTTTGCAGCCTACGCATACTGACGCAGCTACCCACCTGAGCAATTATTGTTATTGTTACAAGTGCAGCTTCCTTGGGTCTCCCGAGTAGCTCAACCAGTAAAGGTGCTTATCGCGGGTTCGAGCCCGGGTCATGCCATTAGCCGACTGTGACCAGAATTCCCCAGGCGGCAACGCACAGTAGACTGAGCGACGCCAGGGGCAGGCCTTTCGAGTTTCGATGACACAGCAGCCCCTGCCGCGCGTCGGTTTATCCTCCTGCAGGGGGCGCTGAACCTCAGGTACGGGGGCTGTTGAGCCAGGGAGGAAGGGAGGGGAGATGGCAAGTTTAAAAAACAACAACAGCTTGGGCCCCACGTGCCCTAGCAGCAGCCAGGTCTGTCACTATAGCAAATGCTTTGGCTTTACTGACACTTTGGTTTAACTGACAACCAACTTGTCGTCGTACTGCAGCCTCGTTATTGTAGATTTACCAGCTGTCTGTGGAGCATTTATCACCTTTTTTCTCTTTTAGATTGAAAGATGCAGTAATGTTGAGAGTCCTGGGTGTTTTAATATTTATTGTATTAGCCAAAAGGTTTGGTTGATTACAAATTGAGGCCTCCTTGGAAGTGGATGGTTTAAGTCTGGTGGGGTTTTTTTTAACAGTGCCTCAGCCTGGTATGCTAGTGATCTGAAGCCCTGGGTACTTTTAATATAGCCGCAGTAGACGGAGGCTTTCCAAAACTGAAGGGAACTAAAACTGCATGGGTAACACTGGGGAATTCAGTAACCAGCTGAGCGTTGTGTAAAAGTTCCTAGAAAGAAGTGGGGGACTGTTACAAACCACCAGCCCTCGGCACACAGTCCAGACCCTGGCAGACATTTTCAGTTGAGGGAGGCTGAAAAAAAGTCCAGGTTTTTTTTTTTTCCCCTTCGTCTCCGAGCACAGCAACCTGTTAGATGGCTGAAAGACAAAACCCAGGAGGCCAGAGCTCCGAGTCTGCGGAGCGTGACCGCAAACTGAAACTTGCCCTGCTCGGCAAAAAGGGAAAGAGGAGCTGGAAAGCTGAGAGGGCACCGTTTGAGGGTGTGCGACGAGGGCTGTATGGGTGACCATGTTTGCTAAGTGGGTTGAGATATCGTAAGAATTTAAATTTGCTGTGGTCTTCCCAGTTCTGTGCCTGCGGTCCGCCCATTGTAACCAAAGATGTAATCTGGTAATTAAAGGTGACGCACTTCAGTTTGTACGGCCTGTTTGGGAAAATAATGAGAGTGTACAGTTAGTACACATAAGCAACAGTGGTGTCATTTAAACCTCCTTAGGAATTTGTTTTAAAAACAACTACAGCTTACACAAGTTTGGGATGCATCCAGAGACCCAAGGTTTGGAAGCAGTTCCCCAATTCTTGGTTTAATTTTAGTACACAAAGTCATCATTCTTTATCTATGTTATAATTTGAGATCCAAGGAAACCAATAACAGTGGTAAGACCTCTTGACTTTTTTCAAAAAACAGTTTTCTAAGTGAAAAAATAACATTTTGCCCTCCACAACTGATTATTTATAATAATTATAATTAGTTATTTAGTTCAGTTTGGAGTATGTTTGCATGTTATTTGTACTCTTTACAACAAGGTTCTGGCTAGTTCAAACATGGAGGCAGACTAATGAATTATGGTTTACGGCATGCTTAAATTTTGTTGTAAAAAAATATAGGGCCCTACTTTGATCAGCTGTAACTCTGCTCTTCAGACACAAACTCCTTTTAAGGGGAAGCGTACAAAACTCACATTCACTTCCTTGTGATGATTTGGATCAATTCATGGATTTGAATTTTTTTTTGCATTCTGTATGTTGAAATACAGAATTTGTGTAATTGTTTTAGTTGAGTAAACCCAGGCATGTCTGACATTTCATATCAAGTGTGATATTCTTATTGCTTTATTGTTGAGACCCTGTGGAGAATTTCTTTTAAAATGAAGGTTAGGATTCTCTACCAAAATCTGCCTGTTCTCTGAAATAATGGATGACGTGTCAAACTTGATGGGCCTTTGGCAGTTTTTCTTTCTTTGTGAGTAATGAATACTACGGGCACGTGCAGGGCATTCCATCACAAATTAGCAGTAAAGTCTATTTGATGGGTGGGTTTGAATCTTAGATGCCTCAGCTATTATGGAGTGGAATATGGTGTCAGTTAAAGTGAGTGGACCTGATGGGACTTTGGACATATGCCACTGCACAGAGAACTTGAAAAATATTTGCTGGCAGTGAAGGGGGTAATTCTTTCCCTTTACTGTTAAAGCTAGTGGGTTTTTTTTCCTCTTAGAGTCCCAATACATATCTCAGGTAGTACTATTAGTGTTGAACCGACCAGTGACTTGCTTCTCTTAGCAGAGAATTCCCATTTCATATGAGGCTGTCCTGCACAATTATGCTCCGAATTAGACACCGTACACAAGTAGCCGTTTAGCTAGAGACATCTTTAATGCCGGTGTCGACCAGTGCTTGCCAGTCACGCAAGAAATACGCGGAACCTGATTTCCAAAACTAGCAAAAATGTTCAAAACCAAGCCCAAACTGTCGGGAGGGGATTGAGTAAGAGCGGTGAGGCCGCTGGGTTTTCCCCCTGCTGCGCTATGCTGGGGGCGATCCCGCCTTGTCTCCTAACCGTGGCAAAGCCAAGATCGGAAACAAAACGCAGCCTGCGACTTCCAGTTAAAACGACTCGGAAATCTAGAAAGTCCAAATACGGTTCTAAAACGTGCGGATTTAAAAATTAATAATCTGGATATATCGCCAGGTTTGTTGTTCCGTTGTTGGTGGATTTCAGGAACTGGCTGCGAGTTTCTGACAGCGTTTTCTTTCGGGGTGCAGCCCTTTTCAAGTGATTAATATATAAAAACACACCTCCGCGTTGTGTATCCCAAGGTATTACTGTGTGGCGCAGACTTGGAAATGCGCCGACTTTTCTTTACTGTAGTTGTGCTAATTAGAGGGTAATTCGGGGCTGCCATTCTGAACAGAGAGCCAAAATAACCCTGTCAGGCACCATTTGCTGTTGCACTTGCTTGACGCGGAGATGTTTAGAACCGTGCGATTCCTGTTTCTGAAGGACAATAGGCCCACGCAGTGTGTTCTAATAACTTCACTTCTTTCGGTTGTGGTATTGTATGTAACCTCTGTACCAGGAACATGCCACATTGTTTCGTTATCACACCCACAGGGAAAGGCTGTGACAGCTCTTGTTCCACACGTTTCCCTGAAGCCACACCCTGCCCAGCTTTTCTTAACAAATTCTCTCTTTTTTTTCCTGCCCTTTTTGGGGGGGTTTGTTTTTTGTTACATTTTTTACAACTGGCCTCAAGAGTATTCTTTTTTTCTTCTCTCTCTCTCTCTGGGCTGTACTAGGTGCGCATGATTTTCCCAGACTCAGTTGCCGTTTAGTTGACCAGTGTGATAATAAAACAAAATGAGACTAGGCACTTGTTTTCTGTCTCGTTACGGATGTGCCAAAAACGCACAAACTGCGCTGTTGGCACATATATATGTAGCTTTGAAAAGAAAAATGCGCGACCTGCCCCTGTTGTGTTTAAAACAGGTGAAGTGCACTGGGAGTGCTGCTAATTTTGATGAGCGCTGCCATGCTTACTTTGTGCTCTTCCATTGGTGTTTATATTTTAACTCCCTTCCCCCAAGAATTAATGGACAGGCCAGAGTCTTGGCAAGCAGGGCATTTTGTTCTGGGGCACATGGAGAGCACCAGGGCTCAGTGTTAATTATTAGTTATAAAGGGACACTAGCCCTCTTCCAAGCAGGATGGACTTTGGCCACTCTGCTCACACATCAGTGAGAGGGAAAGTGAAGAGTGAGGTGACAGGACAGTTCATTAAGCAAGCAAAATGTCCTTCCTCCAGCAATGTGTCCAGGGGCTTGAGCTATCATGTGTTCTTAAGGGAGGTTTCGTTCATTTCTCATCAAAAGGTTGAACGCTGCATGTAGCCATATTGATCTTACATTGTTAATGTTCAGTTCTGTATATACAGTAGAAAAATCTTTGATCTATTGGTCAGTTAATGCAGTAGGGTGTATCAGGAAAATTCAGACTGGCACAACTGGTACAGCTTTTTTTTCATCTCTTAATGGAAAAGTGCATTTTTCATCTTTGTAAAGGGTCATCTGATGGAGTCGTCAAATTTCTGGTTCCATGCACGAAACGAGGAGGCTGCACGTACTGTAGGCACCCCTGGAGAAAGAGATCGGCCCTTTGGGTCAGCGTTATTAGTACAGAGGTGTGTGAAGGCCCTTCATCAAAGGTTTGGTGCTTAATTCCCCTGCATGGGGAAAAATAAGCTGATCGATGTCAGCTGACCACAGCAGCGCAGATGTGTGTCTTTTTGTGGTCCGTTGGAAATAGAATCCATTTCAGTGCACAGCTCTTAAGAAACTCAGGTGCTGTCAATTATAAGGGTGGATCATAAAGCATCTGTTTAAGTCAAAAAAGGGCTGGGTGCAAGTCAGAAAATTGCAGGAAACTGTGTGTGTACCTGCAGGCTAAAGCTTATTGAGGATTGTCATTTGTCTCAGTGAAGAGATTCTTTTTCTCCACACCTGTATTTTAAAGGGCGCTGTACACAGAGACACCTGCTTTTTTATTTTTTAAGAAACTAGTTATTTGCAGTTAAAGGACTCAATTCAAAACTTGGTAGACGCAAAAAGCTTAATAATTACAGTGAATTATCATGGGAATCCTTGCATGTTAACCATGAGTAACTAATAAAGCCACGAAGCACTGTACTGACAACATTTTGAGGCAGTGGCGTTAAGCTTTTCCCCCATGGGTTTTAATTTGATTGCCATTTGCATTAGCAAAGACAGTGATCGGTTGTCCTTGAGATAACCTCTGGCCTCTTTCTTTTGTTCTTATGTACACTCTCTTCTGCCCCGTGCTACCTGTGCTAAGGCTGAGACCCGAGGAACAAACTGGACTGATTACAAGAAAGTCATTGATTACCACAGGGCCAAGGTCATATCTGAAATGCCTGAACACATGTAGCATCTGTGCTAATCATCCTTTGATCTAAAGGCTGCCCTGGGCAGTAGGGCAGTAGGTGAACAGGCGTTTTTTCTCAAGATCTCGAAGTCTGTGTTCCTCTCTGAAACACCCGTATCGAACGTAGGATCTCTGCCTTCGGCCTGTACAGCGCACGTTTGACATTTGCCTGACAAAAAAAGTGTACAACCCATTCGTTTCTTGTATATACACAGCGTTTTGGGTGTTGTGGACTGTATGCCAAAACAGATAGACAAAAACTAAAAGATTTGTAGTCAGTTGCCAAATTATCCAGTGACATTTATTCTTCGTTATTGTTTTTTTTTGGGCTTCCTACCACATATGGTATTTTCCCACATTAACAAGATATGTTCTCACAACCCCTTATTTATTCCTGTCTAAAGAGGGGCTAAATTCTGTAAAATGTCTGTAACCATATATATATAATATCAATGACCTATTTTAGCACATTTTGAAGGCAAATTGCTATAATCCATTTCTGTCATGGCCTAATTCATTACATTTTTTAACATATGAAGTCATGGGCCTAAATGTAAAACATACAGTTCCTTAAAGATATTTTTTCTTCTTTGGATAAAAATCCAAATATGAAGTTAGTCACGCTGGTTTTTTTCTTTCTTTGAATGTATTTTCCTTGGACAAAGAAAGAGTTTAGAATTCCAGGGCTGACTCTCTTGTCCTTCCTTCGTTGGCTCGTGTTGAAGGCTTCTCTGCAACAGAGGTTTGGGGGCTTGTTTCACACAGTTCAGACACGGCTCTGAAGGAGAACCAGCAGCCTCTCTGCGTCGGTTATACCCTTTGTGAGATATTCTGTCCGGAATTTCGAACACTGTTATGTTAGATTCAACTGTTGTGTAACGTTCTCTTTCCTTTTCCCCCCAGAAGGCATCAGCCAGTGAATATGCTCATGTATGATTATCCAGTCAAGCCAGAGCCCATGGAACCGGTGAGCACAGCTACTTTCTTATCAGTCATACCGTACAGTGATTAAGCCTTTTCACAACAGCCAGTCTGTGGTTTATTTGTTTTAGATTTCCAGCAGGGGGGGTGTGTGCAGTCAAAGCAGGAGTTAATATTTCATTATCTTTTTGTGTGTCGAGCCCGACGCCCGGCTCCCGACCTTTTCCGCGCCAGACAGGCATTTCTGGAAGCTTCTTTTCTGACAGGAAGTCAACCAAGCAGCACGGCCTGGTACTGTACGCGCGGGTGGAAATGCAGTTGGCATCACCCCCTCGCAGCCCACTGGTGAAAAACAGCGTGCGCGGCAGCTTGTGCAACACCGATAAACTTACCAAATAAACCCTACCGAATATCCTGATCTAAAGAAAAGACCTGCCCCCCCTGGCTGTTATCAGTCTGGAGTTCATATGCAAACAAAGTGTTCAGTACAAGACCCTTATCTATCTTCACCCCCACCACCTTAGGAATGAGTGGTTCAGTGCTCTATCAAGCACAGGAGGCCAGGCAGTCTACTTTCGGTTGTGTTGCTGTCAAACCAATTGCTATTTACCTGTGCATATAAGGGTATTATTAAGTATTCCATCCCTGTGCCAAGCCCTTACTTTTATAAACATCCCTTAGTATATTGTGGTTTATAATAATAGAGGGATACTGTGCTGACTACAGCACCGCAATCCCTGGGGTTCTTAATGTCAGTTTTGAATGGATTTTTCTCTTCATCCCCTTCCTTGTGTCAGGCCTGCTCACAGCTGCAAACACCACCTGCAGGGAAACGGGGGGGGGTGAGGGTGGCTGAGGGTCCCCCCCCTCCACTTAGTCACTGCTCGTTGTCATCTTCTCCAGACGAAGTCCCACACCCCTGTAGAGCCAGAGGACGAGGCCCCAGGGCGAGGGCTGCCCAGGGGAGGGGGTGAGCAGAGCACTCTCCTCCTCCCCCCGGTGGTCACCCACGAGATTGCAGCTCTCATCACTAACCCCAAAACAGGCCAGGAGCTGCCGGTATCACAGATGCCGACTCCCTGAGGTCTGTTGGGGTTTTGTCCACTCACTGCCCAATAAGTGTAACAAGCCTAACTACCGCCTACAGCCATCTAGCCTTCCAGTGGAGAATGATTATATTCATCTCTTTCGTTGTGCAAAAAACATCAGGTGTTTCTCAAAGCTGCTTTTTTTCCCCAATCTGTGCGCTTCTCTTTAAACTCCTGTGTTTTGCTTGAGTAACTTTTTTTTACAAAAGAGAGGTTCACAGTTTTTTGTTCTGTGTTGGGCATACTACAACACACCTAATGCTCAAAAATGAGCTCATTTGGTGTTGACTTTTGCAAAATTCAAGTGTTATTTACCCATTCAGTGAGATGTGTCACGTTAATTCGCCCGTGTTAAGCAGAAATAAACCATGGACTGGCCATCAGCCATGTCTTCCTGAAAAGTTTCTTCTGTTCGTTAAATAGCTGAAGTGACTTTGTTACTCCACAAGGACAGTGTGTTTAAGTATAGGCTCAACGTGCATATTCTCCAGTGACCCTGCTTATTTCAAAACCGCAGCTTTCTCTCTTTGTGGAGACAAAGAAGCGCTGTCTGGTCAGCGCTAACATGCAGACAGCTATCAATAGATTTGTGCGGTTGGGAGTCATCAAATTTCTTCCGAATCTGATCCCAGGAATTAGGGTTGTGTTATTAGAAAACATCATTTAAATGACAAATGAATAAGAAAATACAATCCAGCATAATTGATGCATGATATGATATCGGGCGGCTGTAGTCAAGCTCCTGTGAGTTAATTTTCCAGTGCAGGGAAGTGAGAGATTATATATAATATTATATATAATATAAGTACAAGGTCTCTCTTCCTGCAGTAGGTACTACGGCTTTGGGTTTGATGGGTTAAATGGGCCTCCATGTATGATTGTAATTTACAAATAATTTGAATCTTTGTCCTTAGGTGACCTGGAATAATCCGTGTATAAAATAAGAGTGCTACTGTCCCTTATGAGATGTTATAAGTGCCTCTTGGTGATGGTGGTTTAAATTGATGGGATTAACAAGCCGATGTCTAACCTCAACGCAAATCAGCTTTGCCCTTGCGTCTTTTCTCTGGCCGATGCTGGAAAAATTGTCATCTCCGCAGTCAATAGTGGGGTTTATGGATGTTGGCCAGTGTGGGTAGTGTTAATCAGGTTTCCATCCATGTTTTACCTAAAACAAAGTCAAGGGAGCACTAACCTCAAACACCTTCAAGGGTTTGAAACCCTGAAACCGTGTGGTCCAAAGCTGACCTACATGTCTCCCCATTTAGAAGTGTTGCTGTGAAATACACTTACATACACTCTCTCATGCTTCCTCTTCAATATAACAACACTGATAAACGCATGAGAACATAAAGAGGATAAAAACGAGAATAGGCAATTGGGCCCACATTGTCTGGTACTTAGTAGAAAATTGATCTGGGGGATCTCACCCAGCCATTTCTTGACTGTAGCCAGGGTATCTGCTTCCTGCAGCTGTTTGGGTTTTGGGTGATATTTCTTTCGATCCTTCTGATTAGCAGTGATCACAAGCTTGCATAGGGCCAACTACTTCTAAGTAAAATTGTAGCCTTCATATGAGTGCAATAAACTGGAAGCCCTTTGAAAAATAAAACATGCTATTCTGCCTCTGTTGATAACTTTTTGTGTCTTTTACTCGTTGCAGTTTTTGAATGGGCAGAGCTGTGCCCTGTGTGGGAAAACAATGTGCCACAGTATTTGCATAGAAGTGGCAAAATACACAGTAAGTTATACCCAGAGCAGAAGGCTGGCATATTGGTTGGCACCCACTGTGATAACTATTTGATAAGATTTGATAACTGTTTGAGTTGCTGCGTTTAGTATTGATGAAAACAAGTTTAGGGTTAGTGATGCCCTGACCAAATAAACACTGCTGCACTGAACTGATTGCTGAAAGCTGTGCTGAATTCAGAAGCAGACCTGCTCTGCTCTTTCCTCAGCTACCCAGCAGGTTCTTGAAGTTTGCGGTTTGTCATCAGCTTAATAAAGGTTTATAAATGTGCCTGTACAGTGTCATAAATAGCTGTATTGTTTCTGCAAGCTGAATGACAGTAAATAGGATTATTTTTTAAGTAAAGGCATTTCTCAAGATCATCAAAAGATTACTCTGTTATTTGGAAACATAGAACTGTAGAGCTAAATAACAAGTCACTGTGTAGATTCAAAACACTGTGTAGCCCCGAAGCACTGTGGTCACCTCCCTGGTATTACTGTTTTGCTGTTGTACTGGTTTATAATCCTTATTCCAATTGCCTCACTTAAGAAACAGTCTTGACACCCGTTTTTGTTGTTTTTTTTGTTTTCCTCTGTTATTTATTTCGAAATGTCAGCAATGAAAGATTTCTTGTTTTGTAATACCTCTGCGCCACTAACATCTGACACGCAGGCTGGAAAACCGTGCTTCGACATCCTGTGTCACACTCAAGATTTCAGATACCTCCAGCGCACAGTCACTGGGCGTTGCGGTTAGGCTGGTGTCGGCTCCAAATATTATGATTCGCTTTAGCGCTCGACTTTCGGCTCGTGACTTCTGAGCTTTCGTATTAAAACCCCCACCCCCTCGAGGTTTCTCCTCCGATGGCACACTTCTGAACTCAGCGTGCCTGCGCAGTAAGCAGTTTGAAAACGAATGGTCCCTTTTATATTCAGAAATGTGAGGTGTCCGTTATAATATCACGAGCGCACTGCCATCACAGCATACTGGCAGGTTAACCAACGGCTGTGGGCATCTGGGAAGTTTTGTTTTCGCCAAACCTGAAGTTTCCGTTTCCTCTCCCCGTCCGCAGGCATTGTTTTCGAACTACCCGGCCTTGGTGAAGTCTCCAGCCGAGGGCTACAGTGTGATATTTCCCCCTCCCAGCAGACTGTACCAGCCCCTGGATGGGCAGCCCTGCGGAGCCCAGTCAGAGCCGGTGGACCTGTCCGTCAGCAAGCGCGGCTCTCCGCTGTCCTCCAGGAGCTCCCCCTCCTCGCCGTACAGCCTGACCGTGCTGTCCGGCGGCAGCGGCTCAAGCCACAGGGCCAGCGCCTCCCCCTCCGGCTCGCCCCGCCGGCGGCCCTCGCCCGTCGTCTCGTCCTCCCCCCTGCCCATGCCCTTCCCCACCGTCATCACGCCCATCCTGTCGGGCTCCGGCCTGGCCGGCCAGGGGGTGATCCCGGTGCTCTCGCCCGTCATGGTCCAGCCCCTGTCCGTTCTGTACTCTCCTCACCTCTCGCAGTCCATCATGGTGTCGTCCATGATGGACGAGAAAATGCAGAGCCTGGCTGCTAAACAAGGTGAGAGAAATTAAGAATGTCATCATCCCCCCCCCCGCCTCTCCCCACAGGCGTTGAGCAAAATGTATTTGAATTCACATTGTCCAAACACCTGTCTGTTAGGCTCATGGTACAGTCTGTTGACCGAACCCATTTTGTTTGTTTAGCCTCTTCCCTGAACGTGGGGGAAATGTGTCACGAACTCCATGACCTGATGAAACCCATCAAAGTGGAACCAAGGACGGAATACATTCAAGAGCCCTACAGTGAAGACGTCTCGTCTTCGGTCATGAGCGTGATGTCAAAAGAGTGAGTGTTGTTTTTTCAAAGGAAGCGGTAGAATCGATGGGGGTGTGAAGCGCGTGTCGGGAGGTTAAGCGTTTTTAGAAAGCGAGTGATTACCCTGCCCTTTTCTACTCGCGGATCTGTGCAGCGGTGTCAGAAAAAACAACAAAATAAATGTAGAAATAGTGTGGACACTACTGGGAATGTGGGAGTGCTTGAATTGAACTCGTCAAGGCAAACCTGCTTTCTCCAGTGTAAGAAGCACTTGGTCCTCACCCGGGCTTCTATACCAGCTACTTTTCAATTTAGAGGTTTTGACGCAAAATGAAGGGTGTCACATTGTAATACCAGAGAACAAAGGGTGCTCGTTTTCCTTTGCCTTTGCCTTTTCGTAGCAAGTGAAAAGCGATGCCTTTTTTGGGTGCGTCCGTCTCCAGCAGCGCCTTGGTGTCCTAGTCTGCTTAAGATGAGGGAGAGGGTATTACATAGCACACCTCTGAGTTCTGTGGAAAAACATTTCCTTCTTGGAGAGAGATTGTCTTTATTATTCCCAGGATGTAATTTGTTTTAGGTTCCTTGCTAAGGAATAATAAAAATGCCAAGACTCAGGTGACCATGATATCAGGTGACTAAATTGTAAACAGTGCGTTGTGTACGTAGAAGACTTTGAATTTAAACATTAAACTACAGATTGCCAAGAGCATGAGACTGAAAAACTCTATTGCTGATTTTTTTACATTTCTGTATTGGGAAGGATCATACAGGGTACCTTGCCTGTTATACGTTGCTTATCGTATTTTAATTGCCAGCATTGAAAAACCACACCTTATATACACATGAAACAGCTGACTTTTACCTTTTAGCCATTCTTTCTGACAACTGGATCACCAGTTCAGGTTTCAGTTTGGTTTTCATGGCCTAAATCAAGTAAGATGCTGGTGGCAGGGGCAGTTCTGTCACAGTATTTACCCTTTGCCTTCATTGGGGACAGTAAACCTGACCAGTTGTTCATTCCGACTGGGGACACTAAACCTGAGGGTCTACTTCCAGTAGCTCTTTATATTTCAACAGAGAAGATAAATGTCAACGTTAACGTCATCACAAAGCAGGAACGAGATGTTGATTGGCTAAGTAACTGGATGATTAAAAATGTGTTTCTAGGCTCTGTCGAGAACTTCTTCAGGTTTGGAAAGCTTAATATAAGACTGTCTAGTCTTCACAGCTAGCTTCACAGAACAGTCAGATTTCATCAGTGTGGTTAAAGATCTCAGGAAATTGGGAAATAGATTTCAGATGTCTGCCCCCAAGAAAGACTAGTCATATATATTCTCATTAATGAATGAGTTGTGGACATGTAAGGAACTTGTACCTGTAAACTGAATGTGTAAAACAGAGGGAAACATAATCAAGCATTGCAAAAAAAATAAAATGGGTATGAGCTTGGAAGAAGTCAAAAGCTTTAATAATAAATGCATCTTTGGTTTCATAGTTTTACATCAGCGTCATAAAAGTCACTTTTAATAATGCCCTTTAGTTGGCCTGACGGTGAGCCGGAGTCATAAGGAAACTTGATTTAGTCATGAGACCATAGGGAACGTTACACAAAAGAGGGGGACATCAGGCTCATTCAGGCCATTTGGTAGTTAGTAGATAATTGATCTAAAGATCTCATCCATTTGATTCTTAAAAAGGAAGTGGGGGGTATCTGCTTTAACAAACATGTGTGGCTTGTTCCATTCTCCCACAACCCTTATTATTGCCCTAGACATATCAGGCAAAGAGGGACCTGCTCTCAGTATCAGAGGCACGTAGGCATCTGTATCTCTTGCCCGTGACCTCTGAGTGGTGCTGCCCTGTTGATTCCGAAGAATTCTGCTGGGTGGACCGTGGCGGTCAAGTCACAAGCCCAGGGGTTCACAGAGGCCTGAGCTCCTTGCCTTGCATTGCAGAATCAAGACAGGGCTGCAAGCCTTGTTTGTAAAGGTGCTGCAGCAGCCTTCCATATCCTGCGGGTGTGGCAGAGATCTACTTTTAGTTTCTGATGTCACAAGAGTGAGGCCGCACCCTGCTGCTGCAGGAAGCCTCTAATTACACTGCTGCCAGGCGTGGCTGGAGCAATACATCTCTGACATGTTGTTTACCGAGATGAGGAGATGACAGTGGCATTGACAGAAAATCCACTTTAAAGAGCAGAACAAATTAGCTGCTTGTGGTGGCAGAATTTGAAAGGGCTATCAGAGTACGCATACCGTTGAGGTCTCGCGAGGATCGAGGTGCACTCATGGTTTGTTCCTCTGACTGACTTTTTTAAAATGAAGTTCTAGCATTAAACAGCTTAATAGCCAGCTGTAATATGCAGCAGTAATGGTGGTATAGTAAAAGACTCCTGTACAGTTCTGCGTTTATTGGGGTAGTAAATCATCGCTACAGCTACAGTTTAGACAAAAAACACTCGGATATGGAACTGCAGTCATAAATGTATCATAAGACTGCTCCCCTATAAAGAGTATTACAGAAACAAAGACCTACTCAACACTTACTTGTTCAGTAGTTATAGAAACTGGTTTGTTTGTATTCCATGTGATCATGGAACTCATAGAAACTAATTTAGTTTCAAAGAGAGTGAAGCCAGCACTTTCACATTTCCCTTCTAACAGTAAGGTTACTCGTTTTTCCTTTCAATTCTTCTTCTCAAATCTGGAAAAAAAATGAGGAGAACAGACACCTTGGTTCACGGTCAGCCAGTGGGCTTGTTTGGCTGCTTTTTTCCAGCGAAATCGCCTTCAACAACATGGTCGGGCAGCTTGTTCCAGACACCTACCACCCTGTGTGTAAAGAAACCACCTCTAGTTCTCAGTCTTAGTAACAATTCTCATTTGCCATTTCTCCCTTATGTTCTGCTATCGTGTGTCAAGTGACTATTCGGGTTGGCTTTGTCCAATACCTTTCAGAATTTTGAATTATTGTACAAATCTCCTTGTAATCTCTTATGTTGAAGACTTGCCAGTGTATGGCACTCCTGTTAAACCTGGAATGAGTCGGGTTGTTCTTCCATAAACTCCTTCTAGGACAACAGTGCCATTTTTGTGTTGTTGCAACCGGATCTAACTAGTGCATTGTATTGCCGTAACAGTACTTTATTTAAAATTCTACACTTTTCATTATATTTTCATTTTTGTACTGCTTTCTCCTTGTCTAAAAGGGGTCAGTGGGGAGTCCACATAAACTTTTAAGTCCCTTTCACAAAATGCTTCTCTATTTTGGGGTTCCCAACCTAAAATAGTTAGAGCGATTTTTAAAAAAAACTACGAGTATAACTTCCTGCTTACCTACATTGAATTTCATTTGCCAACTGTGCAGTCTTGAATAGTGTCTTTCTGGGATCTTAAGTTAATAAATGTTCTGGTTGTAGACCACTCTATACAGTACTTTTTTGTCCAAGTTCTTCAAGGAATAACTCAGTGTATTAAATGGAAGTCTATGAGTGCCCTCTGCTGGTTAATACATAGAACCGCATCCAGTGTTTCTCATTCTGGCAGGTTTTATATACACACATATGCCTTCAGCTGACAATGACAGTGCATATTGCAAAAAGGTTATGAAGAGTTGGCCTGTGTTTACTGTTAGTCAGGATTTTGAAGTTGAATGTAACATGATAAATAAACCATGAAGTCTCTCATTTCTATTTTTCCGATGGTTACACACTACTGTATATGAAACTTCAAGATTGCCTTTTCAAGGGGTGTTTTTCATGCATCCCCATGTTACAACACAACAATGATGTTCACATTTTGACTGGTGTACAAGGAGTCAATCTGATGCTTTTTAAAATTTCCATCAGAATAAGCCTTACTCTCTTGCTGTAACCGTGTTTGTCTCTGATACAGCTCTTTGTTTTAATATATATATTTTTTACTTTATTTGTATTAGAAAACTCCAAATCATTCCCCAGCTTGCAAACAAGAGCTCCAATTGAACTGCTGGTGTCTCGGAGCCAGCTTTCAAAACCATCTTTATAGATAAAAAAAAATCTTCTAGATGAATAAAACAAGTCGTTACATTTAACAAACTGGAAATTAAATTTGAGCCAAATTTAAGATGGAGGACAGTAGTGCTTACTATGTAAATTACGACTTTTAAGAGATTGCAAAAGCATACATTTGGAATGGGAAATGGTTTGAATGTTTTAACTCAAATATTTTATTTTGGGTTTTGCCACACTAAAAGCTAAAAAAAGTCAAAAGATGGGAGTCCACACCCCCAGCATGGGATACATTTCTGTGACTCAACTATAGGCGGTGAAACTGGATTAAAAAATGTGTATAAAAAATGAAATGGCCTTTGCTCCGTGGGGATTAGGGATGCCGGTTTTCGAAAGCTTTGTCGTCTCGTTTGGGAGGCTTCTATCCCTGTGCTTGTTGTTGTGTTTCAGGAGCAACAACCCCTCGGTGATCATGCACTCCGGGAAACACCCCCTGCCAGTGGAGTCTCCGGACACTCTGAAGAAACGGCGCATCCACAGGTGTGACTACGACGGCTGTAACAAGGTGTACACCAAGAGCTCTCACCTGAAGGCCCACCGGCGCACGCACACTGGTAAGAGCCAGCGGCAGAGGGGCGGACTTCGGGAACGCGCACAGAAATGGCCTTCCGGGGGGGGGAGGTGGGAAGGAGAAACGCACGTGTGGACCAAAACAGTTTCTTCTCACAGTAAAACTGTCAGCTTCTAAGGGCTTCTGGGAAAGCTGGAGCTGTCCCGTACAGACTCCCAAGACCTTCGTAACACTGCGACTCACTGGGTCCCGCAACCAGACCTGTAGCTCATCTTTTGCGTCCGCCACCGACCAGCCGGGCGCCGCTTTTAAATAACGTTCAGCTGCCACTAGAACAGTTTTTCACCCAGCTGCTCCGCTGTGAGGGAATTTCGGCAAGGCCGCAGCCGAGAACTGTGAGTGAAACGTGCCGTGTTCCAGGGCAGCAGGGACGCGTATGACTGCTGCAGCTGTTGCTAGGCAACAGAAACAACAAGTTCAAGCTTGTAGGAGCTTTTGAGACAATTCAGTGACCAAAATGAAGCGAAATAAGGCCCAGAATCTCCCGAGTGTCAAAAGCCCTCGCCACAAACCACTTTCTGTTCAGAAAACGTCTGGGAGAATAAAGCCATGCGCTTTACTTAACATGTATGAAGTCTTAAGTGAGATGAGATCATTGTTGCATAGATCATTCTTTCAATTCTAAAAGGATATATTAACGGGGAAGATGAAAACCAGTTCCTTAATCCAAACTTATGTAACGGAATATCTTAATTGAGGTCCATTTACTCTTAATATTCTGGAAGGTTGTAGTGGCACATTTACTATAATTCCTCTGAAAATGATACAGAGACTGAAAGCAGACTTTGGGAACAGGTCTGGGCTTATTTTTGCCTCCTGAAAAATTGTGCTGGAAAGGTGTTATCACAAAAGGCTAGGTTTTTCTCAAATTATTCAGCAAATGCTCGTCCACGTTGCAATCTATCTAATGCCTTACAGCTCTGCTGATTAACTCACGGACTCTGTGTTTTCTTTCTGCAGGGGAGAAACCATACAAGTGCATGTGGGAGGGCTGCACGTGGAAGTTTGCCCGTTCGGACGAGCTGACCAGGCACTTTCGGAAGCACACTGGCGTCAAACCTTTCCAGTGCCCAGACTGCGAGCGCAGCTTCTCGCGCTCTGACCACCTGGCACTCCACAAGAAGCGCCACTTACTCGTCTGAGACTCGTACAGACCACACACACACCCCCCCCGCCTCCCTCCAAATGGTTCAGCTGGCTTGAACCATCCTCATTGTGCTTACAAGGCCTGTTCAGAGCTGGTCAGTCCAGCTAACACTCACAGTCTGCAGGCCACACAGAAAATGGCTTAGTATTTATAAAACCTCGGGTCAGACCTACATAATGTGAATTTTCTTTTTATAATAATTTTATATATATATATTGTGGGGCTGAATTATTTTCATTATTGTGCAGCAATATATTCAGGGTTAATATTTGTAGTCGTTGTGCCTGAAACCTCTGAGGACTCGAAAAAGTGCCTTTTGGTCTCCCAACATGTGGAATAAAGGTGATTTATGACTTTGATAAGTTACAGAAAATACAGCTGGAGTCCAGCATGGCAGAAATGAATTCAAATGTGGGTGAATTTTCCAAGTGCCGAGTGCATTCAGACCAGTTGGAGGTTTCTGTGGAAATCATACAAATACACATGTACTTATACATGTCAAAGTAAACGCCCAGCCTTTTACGTCATGTTCTCTGAGTTCAGATCACCAGTGAAGCTTGTTCCTTACATTTCTCACCTTTATTTTGTTTGTTTTGAAGGCTTTCCTGTCTGACGCTATAGATGTTGAGGGAAGCGAGGGGAAACGCTGGGATTTGGTGGTAAATTTGCGATGCTGTCCACAAAAAGAGGTCGTTCCCCTTTTAATAAAAATACCCAGGAAGGACAATATTCCTCGCACGCCATCTTCCACCCCACGTAACAATGAGCATGCCATGGGGCAGCGCCTTTCCTTTCCCTCACATCACTGCTCGTTGTCTCACAGTTCGAGTGCTCATTGTAGGCCTGGTTGATATTGCTCTGGATCTTTCCTTATCAACTATCATGCTAGGACACATACCCTGAACGGGCTGCTATATTGTTCGTACGCCAGCTTCGTGCTTGTTTGCTCTGTATCTTTATTCCAACGCCCATACGTTCTCTGGGTTCGATATGGACGGACATGGTTAACAGCACCTCCGTAGAAATGCCACACAAAAAAAAGGAGTTCCTGTATAACAGGTTCCAGGTCCCGTGCGCTGCCAATAAAAGACAATGTGAAGATTAAACAAAATAGGGCATGTAGAACAAAATTATTGAAAATAATAGGGGGGGTGTGGAGCCCCATCACTTTTGAGTGCCACAGATGCTGTCTTTTATAGTCCACTTGCATCCATCTGCTGTGCTTTCTCTCTCAAGCAGTCTTAAAGATCACTTGCCATGCTTCTGAGTGTCACTTTGTATTGCAAGCACTGCGGGACTGTATACAAGCCTCACGTCCTTCACCAGTGTCGCCTCATTAAGTTTTACGGTGGTGTGCCAAGACCGAAACACAGTCGGTGGGTAGGACAGAGGTGTACCTGGAGCTATGGTAAACCAGAGCGCTACGTGTGGGGGGTTTTGGCTCAGTCATGAGAAGAGCTCTGGGGAAGCTCCAAACCTGCGGTGTGTCGACATTTACCGTAACAAAGCCACTTAAGGGAACAGTTCAATTCAGATTGCAAGAATCGCAGCTCAGCTTTCTTCACATGTTGTCTGCGCTAAGTGTCAAACCCTTTTTAAAAAAAAAAAGAACTATGATCCTTAGTAGAGTTTGTGCCATAGCGATTATGTACCAATTTACCTCTCTGCCATGTCAGTGTCTTACTAGTTTAAAGCAAAAGAGCTTTAATTGTCTTGTGGCAGTAAATATTTTGTGACTCTTCAATTTAAAAACAGCACATCAATATTCCCGATTATAAATTATTTTTCTATAATGGATTTTTTTTTTATCTAGACACGGCTTAAGCAATCGAGATCCCTCAATTTTCCCCCATTATTGGCAAATATAGAAAAAATATAAACGAAATATAAAATGTAGTCTTTATAAATACAAAATAAACTACACAAACCAGAGAATCGCATGCTGCCCTGTACTGTTAAGTATTTTGAAAGGTTTTTTGGGGGCTCTGTGGTTTTGAGAGATGTTTCTTTTCTTTAGAGAGTGGGGAAAAGGGATTTCCTAATCAATCATATTTCCAGATGAATACCTAAGTGTTGTAAATAGGGATCATGGACAAGTCATTAACTACACAACCATGTTTTGTGTCTATCAGAATGTGAACTGTTTTCTGGGCATTATTTTGTTTAAAAGAATTCAATCTGGTTTTGGGAAGCTGTAAAATGTATATTTTATGTTTGCTTGCTTTATCATGTGGTGAAACTGAGATGCTAAGCCAGTAGACAGCTATGTAAATTTCTTAGATTTCTATAAACCTTTAGAAGATGAAATAAGAATTTATTTAAAGAGAGAAGCATGTCTTAAAATTGAAAGTTATTTTGCTTTGCACTTTATCCGATTCAAAGGTGAATTGTGAAAAGCACCTCTCGTATTAAATTTTGCTTCAATCATATTTGACTTCTCTGGGGGATATAGCACTACAAAATATGTAATAATTCTGTCTTCTGAACATTTTTTCTCTAGGACTGGTACTAAGATCATGCTAATTCAATTCTATTTTGTAAAGGTAGTTGCAAATGAATTTCACAAAATTCCATGGATTTGAGTGAAATCCAGATAGTAGTTTGGGACTATACAAACTACAAACAGATCTGTTTTTAGACAGCATTTCAGACTGAACAAGTGCGTGGTGGTTTTCTGGCAACATCTTTCAATATAACTGATTAATTTTAGCAATGTGGCCAAAAGTGTACATCTTACTTAGTATCTCAGCTTTCACCTTTATTAACGTTTTCTAAACATGTATAAAACTGTGCAGATTTATATATTTTATTAAATAATAAGACTGAATGGGCAATTAAGGTTTAAGCATGATTTTAGTTAAATTCAGCACAAAGAATACTATGCATTTTAGTTAACTATTATAGAAAAAATGTGAGTTTATACTGAACTGTATCTTTCTCCAAGACATATAGGTTGGTAGTCCAATGGGATTTTTGTAATGACATTTTGTCATGTCAAACTGTGAACACAAATGTATACTGTACAGTTGTATTCTATAATAGTCTCACATATTGTTTTAATGTATATCATATAATAAACTCCTGTGGATATCATCTTTGCGGCAGTGTAGTGTTTCTCATGCACTTCGCAATAATTAAACATAGTCCTATAACCAAACTACAGTAACTTTGGCTACAGTGAAGCCTGATGAAATGTTCTTGAATGTAGTGTGTGGAGGTACACATTGCAGAGTACCTACCCTTTACTGAATACAAAAAACCTAGGATTACTTCAGGACAGGCAGAAGACTCTTTGAAGTGCAGGCTGAGGAGTGTACAGTCCAGAACTGTGGCTCAGATCAGAGCGATGTCATTACCGACCTGTTACTGGAATTGCTCCAGGCTGAGTGGGTTCGAGTGGACACTGGTTGGACACCATCAGTGAGACTCTCCATCTGTGAGCTGCAGTCTGGCCAGGCATTGCTCTTCCAATTCCTGATTGCTCTGCAGAGTTCATTAACAGCTAGGCAATGTAAAGCAGGTTGGTGCCAAGTGTTGACTCCAATCAGTCCAGAGCACTAACTTCTGTGAGGCCTCCAAAGACTTGTTAACCATGTTTCACATAATTTTCATCAGCTTTTTTTGGGGAGTTGTACATTTCTCCAAAACAGTACAGTACATCACAAGAGCCCATCTTCCGCCATCGGTGGTATTCTCCGAGATTCCAGACAAATAAATCCCTACTGTTTTGAGAACGGTACCTCCATCAGTTATAGGGTGGTAGAAGTAATAGCATTTTAGAACAGGATCCATTTCAAATTATTTTCAAAAGGCTTTGTACCTAACCAGTACATAATTACTACATAAAAAAATAAATAAGTATACATAGCAGTCTATAGTATATGAATTGTAATGTAGGTTCTACAGTGAACATAGGGATGTACTTTTGTTTATGCTATTATGAGCTCCAATTTTGTAAGGGAAAGTCAGAATTTAGTCCACTCCTCGGACATTTCAGATAATTTGCATGAGTTTTCCATAGCATTCTAGCTAAATCGGCCTTGTTACAGTATATAGGAAGTATTTGTATTCTTCCTTTGAAGTACTCTTTACACAGCTTTGAAAAAGCTGAGGACCGTCGCATAATGTGATTGCAGACTTCCTTTGCAGAGCTTCCTGTTGCCAGTCAAGAGAGGAAGAACAGTAGATAATACCAGTTAGAAATCGCAGCGATGAGGCAAGCTTCAGCCTAAGGAGAGGAAATTGCTTTCCTAAGTGTTTGATTAAACCACTTCAATCCTGAGATCACATTAAGGTCAGTATGCTTCAGCTTTCTGAAAATGTTGAGGTAGAATAAGATGTGGTTTAAAATACTTTGAAGAACTGGATTCTTTATTATTATTATTATCTGTCTTCATTAGGGATATTATTTAGTGGTTCAGTATAATGATGGCTCTTTAATAAAAATACACTTACTGAAAAGGACGAAAACCCTTTGGTCACATATATATATATACAACCACATATTTATACTGTATATTGCTCATATATATATATATGTAATTCAGAACATAGAAATGTTTAGTTGGGTGCAATTTAGAGAAGTCAATCGCAAGATATTTCCTGAAAGTGTACGTCAGCATCTGATTTCTACCAAATGCCAAAAAAGAATCATATTGAAACTGGTCTGAACAGGTGCTGAAAAAGAAGCAATACTTGTTTTCATATGTCTTCCTCATGGCTCATTTCACATAATATTGACTGACACATTCCAAAACCTGCTGATGAAAAACAACCCTTTATGCTGAAGGAGAGTAGCTTTTACAGAACGGATGAACAGCACACATCCTGCATCTCCTCATTAAACAGATTTGTACAGTATATGGGACCTCTAGAGCATCTGAGGGCACAGACCAAGATTACAGACATTGTTGGTCTCCTGTCTGCCCCATCTGGCATGTCTCTATCTCAGGACTGCACAATGTACAGCCTGTAATTCAAATACTAAGCACGGTGTGTTTGGAGGTTTCCAGATCCTGCACTGATTCTTGAGTTCCTACACAAAATAATTTGAAATGGTAATCATTGTTGAACAGTTTGATTTGATGCAAAATCAGTGTGATTAGGATATGTCTGTGTGTGCACAGAGGCATGCAAGTTTATGTTCTGTCGAAGTGTACACTGCATTAGTTTGTGTGAGGTTAATGTTATGTGGTTTATGAGTGTATTGTAGTGGCTCACAGACTATGGACTCTGTTACATAGTTCCCTGTGTTCATTTAATCTGGTATGGCCATGACCTAAACTGTACTTGTTGTCTTTTTTATTTTGAAAGCAGAGTTTTAACACAGTACCAATAATGGATGTTCGTTTTACACCATTTATGACAAAGAACAAACCTAGAAATACCACAGAAAACAGAGGGCAAAAGGCTACATATGTTGCACTTTCATTAACAACCATTGACTAAACCTGCATAATTTAAGATAATTATTTTTAGTATTACACTAATTGTTTTGCAATGCAACTTATAACTGCATTAAGAAGACTAAAATTTCTGAAGGGGTTTGTTGTAGCTAAGGTCTAAACTTGCCTTCAAGTTTCTATTGGGAGGCATATTTGGAAATTTGCTTTCAGCCCTTTAAAGATTGAATGGGAATTTTAATTAGTTTTAACCTTATATCAATTTCTGAGTTTCAGAACTCCCCTTATTCAGGAGGGTTATGTAAAACAAAGAAAAACTACAACAACATAAAATAATTAGTGGAGTTACTGTTAAAAGAAGAACAGCGACACAATAATCTATTTTTAATTTTGCTATTGTGTTTTTTTGGTCTTTCTCCACTCTCCACCTGTGTGGATTACAGGTTCACAGGTGAAGGGAATTTCACTGCCAGGATGAATTCTGTTGTGCTGACTGTCTGTATTCTGTTTGGTGCTACTACACGAGCAATTTCTGCAGGAAATGAATGGCTAAAAAACACCTTCAATTGCTCCTCTCAATCCCTGACTTCCATTCCCAGAAGCTTACCCTTAACCACAGAGGCCCTGGATATGTCCCATAATGAAATAAAGACCCTCAACAGTGAGGATTTTTCAGGAGTGCCACATTTGAAATTCCTCAACCTATCCTCCAACGTGATTGATGACATCAGCAATGACACCTTCAAATCAAACCAGGAACTGAAATACCTTGACCTCTCGTGGAATAAACTTCGCAACCTATCCTGTTACTTCTTAAATTTTACTCCCAATCTGAAATATCTGGACGTTTCGTTCAATGAGTTTGTTTCAATGGCCCTCAGCCATGCCTTCCGCAACCTGAGGCATTTGGAGTATATGGGCGTGAGTGGTAAGACTCTTCAGAGAACGGACTTCCAGAGCATCTCTCACATTCGACTGAGGAGTGCGTTTCTTAATTTGGAAAGTCTCACTTCCTACGAAACGGAGAGTCTAAGACGCTTAAATACTGAAAGAATCAAAATTGTTGTGACAAACAGACTTACAGATGTAGACGTCATGTCTGACGCACTCTCCATTTCAGAAGAGGTGCTATTGTCTGCAATGAAGAGAAGTGAATACTTAAAACAAGCTTTGGTACATGTGAAGAAGGGGAAAGAAATGAAGGCCGCACATCTGTCATTAATCAATATTGAGATGTCTTGGAACGATTTCACAGTTATAATCAACACTATTTGCCAGTCATCAATTAAACACCTATACATAGATAATTTATTCATCACAGAGACAATTAAGAAGAAAGAAGTCACACAAAGCAATTCTTTGGAGTCCTTGACTATTAAAAATGCGTCAGTTCAAGATTATTTCTTTTTTCAAGGTGATCTGTACAACTTTATTATTAACAGGATGTTGCAGAACCTCACTATTGCAAATACACCCATTGTACACATGATTTGCCCCCCAAACCAAAGGCCTTTCAAAATGCTAGACTTATCGAACAATACGTTGTCTGACAGTGTGTTTTCTGTAACCATCACCAATGAAACCAGCTGCAAAACTTTAAAAGAACTACATACCCTGGTTTTAAGAGGAAACAAGCTCCAGCAACTCCAGAAGCTGTGCAGCACAACACAACACATGCTGTCATTGAAACACTTGGACGTCAGTTTCAACTCACTCACATACAAGTACACATCCGAACACTGTCACTGGTCTGAGAGCATAGTCACTTTAGTATTGTCATCGAACAACCTAGACGATTCAGTTTTCAAATGCTTACCCAAAAACATACAAATTCTGGACCTGCAAAACAACCAGGTGACCGCAGTCTCCGCCGATGCACTAGATCTGATGGCCCTGACAGAGCTCAACCTTGGATCGAACAGGCTTCTTGACATACCTCACTGTGACAGCTTCAGAAGGCTGCAGACTCTGTTGCTGAAAGAGAACGGCCTTCACACTCCATCAGTGGGATTTTCCAGCAGTTGCCAAGGCCTGGGAGTGTTAGACGTGAGCAACAATCCATTCATATGCACGTGTGCCTTGAAGGAATTCATTAATTTTACAAACCGACACAGTGCCAAACTTCTCCACTGGCCCCTTGGCTACAGCTGTAGCTACCCTCAAACCTTGAATGGCACATTACTGAAGGACTTTAACATTGCTGAAGTATCATGCAATATATTCCTTTTGCTTACCGTCATTCTTTGCCCTACTATATTCATCATTGTTGCCACTGCGATTCTCTGCAGACTTTTAGATGTTCCCTGGTATGTGAGGATGATCTGGCGGTGGACCCAGGCCAAGCATCGTGTGAAAGCCAAGCAGAAGCTGGAAGCTCCAGGAGAAGTGCTGTTCCATGCTTTTGTGTCCTACAGTCAGCAGGACGCAGCATGGGTGAAGAACTACCTCCTCCCCAACTTAGAAGAAGATCCGGTTTTGCGAATCTGTCAGCACGAGAGGCACTTCATCCCAGGGAAGAGCATAGTGGGGAACATCATCAGGTGCATCGAGCAGAGCTACAGGTCCATTTTCGTCCTGTCCGCCCATTTTATCCAGAGCGAGTGGTGCCACTACGAGCTGTACTTTGCCCAGCACCAGCTCCTGTCCCAGGACTCAGACAACATTATCCTGGTCCTTCTGGAGCCCGTCCCCCAGTACCTCATCCCTTCCAAGTTCTACAAGCTCAAGGCCATGATGGCGAAGAGGACCTACATGGAGTGGCCCCAGGACAGGAACAAACACAAACTCTTCTGGGCCAACCTGAGGGCTGCCTTGCAAGTCAACCTGTCTGCTGGAGTCGGGACTCCTGACACGGAGCTTTAGTTTCTCGATAGATGAATAAATCCCCAGGGCAAAGCGTTCATTAAGTCTTCAGATCAGATTGAACAACTACCACATGCTGTCATGGCTGTTATAATGTCTCCATCAGAAAATCAGGCTGTCAACAGAAATTCTGGGTGCTGTGAATCATGGCTACTGGGGTTCCCTATGTTGCATACTTTTGTCCATATTTCATTTGTCAGCGGTAAACATTGAGGATTGTTTCCAGAGATATAGGTACTGGATTTATACCGCTACTAGTTGGAAGTATTATTTAAATCCTCAGATTATCATGAGTTATTTAAAACAGAAAAATATACAAAAGCAGTTTTGCATTATTTGTATTTCACAGTGTTCTTTGGAAAAATGAAATCCACAACTGTGTGTAACAGTCTGCAAGGTTTTTTTAATTTGCTTTACTTCTCATGTTCTGGCCACTATGTTGTTAAAAAATGCCAGCAATAATAGTGTTTGAGTGGGGAAAAAACCCATTAAACTCATCATAGCATTCTTTGAAAAAACAAAAATGGAAACCTGAGGTGAGCTCCACTGTTCAACTGTCATTTCAGTTTCGTCTGTCACTGTGTCACAGACCCCTTCTTCTGCTTTTGCACAGCTGCTGTTTATTTTTAGAGTCATTGAGAAAAACTGCTTTTAGGCTTCCTCTTGTCAAAAACATAACTTTACGAGAAATACCAAGAGAATATTGATTTTTCTGCCCATAGTGCTAGTATACTAGAGAGCATTTCTACCCTCAATTGAATTAAAGAATGACATTTCAAGTGTGCGACACTCCAAAGTAAAAACTGGAAATAAAGCAACATGTACAGTAACACATTTCCAGTATAAGCCTAGGAAAATTAAAATCAATGGAAACATACTGGAGGGACGTGAGGTAGACAAGGCAGAAACCTGCTCTCTGCACCAAGAGAAGTCCTGACCAAGGACTTAGACCTCACACACTCAGACTGTCTCTGCATCAGCTGTGACCTGTCTGAAGCTTTTTCGGACTCCTTTGGTAATCTTGGGATAATACTTTTTTTGGATGTTTAAGAAACAAAATGTAACAGTGTCCTAATAACAGATGGGATTTTAGAATCATCACGGGCTACCACTTGTTCTCCTCATCTCCCCATCCCCAGGGCGGTATACTCCCCACTCTCGTCAACTGGTACCGGCGGTGGTATTGAGCATCCCAACAGAAAAACAATCAACCCGAGAAGGAGCCTTAAACCTCTGCAGTTTCAAGGCAGCTTTAAATGGTCAGATAGCAAAGATCTGGACTCCAAATTAAACCACTGATTGAGCCAATCGAGTCACTGAATGCTCGGCTGGACTATAAAGCAGAAGTGTCTTACGTACCCCTGCCTCAGCACTGTCCTAGAGAAAACGCAGCCTGTTTCAGCAGGAGGGGAGCTATTGCTTACACATTTGACTTCTGTTTTCATCCTGTATACTGTTATGTTCCTTAATATCAAAACGCACGATTACCTCTATATTGAGAAATTGAAAATTATTTTTTTTGTGCTGGAATGAATTGTGCATGGCCCAGATTGCTTTTCTTTCCAAACAGCTGAAGAAAGACCTTTTATTCAAAATGCCCCCAAGACACATAATTGCTTAAATATCAAGAATAGAGCACTTTTTGAGTGTTTCATGGTAAACAACTGCCATTCAGCCTTCTCTGAAACACGTACACAGGACCAGAATCACTCTGAGGCACAGACTTAAAGGAGAATTGAATCCACAGAGATGACTTGTTAAAATCTTTTTCAGTCACCTCATAAATGAACTGCCAGTCAAGATATTTAGTAACTACAATCATGTTTTGGCCCAGCTGAGGCTTGTCTGTACAATACAGACAAACTCCTGTCACTCTTTTATTCTTCAAGTTCCAGCCAATTCGAAGGACAAAAACACAATAATAAAAGGCTTGCTCCACCTAAAACACAAAACTGTTCCATTAACTAACTTATTGTGTAACTCTTTTTAACACCAGGAATTATTTATGGGTGCGCTCTGTTGCTTAGGTGGAGCTAACCCTTTATTAAAGTACTTAAGTGTATTTTAGGAAGGGATGGAGCACACAGACCAAAAGAATAGGCTGGGACAAAGGGACGAATGGTGTAACACTGAAAATCAAACACCAACCATTTCAAAAAGGTATTTGAAAATTGCTATTCTGGCCCTACAAGGATCACTGTGCCGCTCAGATCCGAGACAGATCCTAGGCTGGCTGTCTAATCCCACTCCATCACCAGGGAATGCAGTTGCCATTTAGCAATCCTTGTTCCTTATCCAATGTGACAAAATCTACTGAAAGCAAACAGCATTTGGGGAAAAGGTTAGGGCTCTCTCTTTAGTTTTGTTGTACTGATCTGTTTGTCCAACATTTTCCTTGACGAGACTTACATTTGCACCAATTTACTCGGCTGGGTATTTCAGTGAAGCCCCTTGTTTAAGGGAACTGCAGCAGTTTTGAACCCACAGCATTCTGGCTGAGAGCCCAGAACCTAACATACCCTGATGAAAAATATGATAAGACTCTTAAATGCAGGAATATTTTCTTTCAAGTATAGTCTCCGGAAACCCAAGGAGTCTGTCAACCTCAAAGACTACAGCCAAGCTTGACCTGCACTGTAGTTGGCTTTGTGAGTTAAACAGAATATTTGTCTTTTCGCAATTACAGAGCAACACCTAGAATACTTTAAAAAGGGCCAGTGCAAATTATTCTTGACCATTTTCAATCTTTATTTAGAAAATATTGCGTCTCATATAGAAATTGATTGAGTAACGAATGTTCGAGAGGAATGACAATAGCCAAGTTCGATCAGCCTCAGCTGTCCAAAATCCATAAATCAATCCTGATGTCATTTCCTTAAAATCCTTAAACATTTTAAAGGTGGCGCGTATTACTCCCCTCCTCTTCCTCACATACGTCTTTTTCATTTCTCCTTCACCCCAGCAGATACCTCTTGGTCACTCCGCTCTCTATGTGGGTCCCAGCTTCCTCGCCTTTGTGGCCAGGAGGTCAGCCTCAACCAAGCGGGTTAAACCAAATTATTGTATCTTAAATGTTGAATTAACCTTTCAATATGCCTAGTGCCTGTGCATTGCAATTCTTAGTGAAATATATAATGGTACTTGAGCTACAGTCTGGTGCAATTAATCTGTTGTCGGAAGGTCAGCTCATGCTGTCGTGTTCGATTCTGTTGGGCTGGTCTGTTAGGTTTGGCATCGGAACCAGGAAGACAGGGGGGAAAAAAGTCACGCACCCTGCAATAACGGAAAAAGTGGGCAATTGGAAATGGATTATATATCCAGTTCTAAATAATAATATATTCTAAATCCATTTTTATATTACAGATCGACATTACTGAATAATCTGCTTGCTCCCCCCATCAAATCTACCTAAGGAAAAAAAAAAACGCGCTCGACTTGATCACCAATTGCACTCCAGACTCAGGTCTGCCTCCACTCACAGAAACCTACATTGTTAAACGAATATAAAAACACGTACAAGTTTGAAACGTTCGAACTGCCCTTTGCCCTTCCTAAAATATATCTGCAATATGGTGCCGTGAGCATTTTAAAACTACGGCTCAATTACAATACCATTCGCTGAGACTTTTGTATCCCGTAACCGCGTCTTCCCACAACAGGGCGCAGCGGAGCCGATCTCTTGAAAAGCTTTCTGAAGAAGAAAAAAAAACATATCTGAAATGTTCCGTGAACCTAGAGGTGAAAACTGCTTCCTTGTTTCAAATGAGAAGGAGTTCAGTAAGCGACGAACAAAGAACAGAAACAATTGCATTAAAATCAAGTGTAATTGTCATACAGAGTACACAAGGGGAGAATGGCACTGAATTACAGCAGGAGAGATTATCCCGGGCAGTCATCTCAGTAAACCCTAGACACTGCCAATTTTGCACCATGAAATTTATCATTCTTGCTGATTTAAGCACAACGCAGAACACATATGGATCTGGGGGCTTTGCTTCTGAGGGTACAGAGCGGCTCAATTACTGAGCTGATCTTATTTCAAATCCTACAGGGAGACAGCGAATCGCTGCATAATGCGGAACAGCAAATGAGGCCCTTTTTCTTTGCTGTCAGCAGGCTGCGATGATTGTGTTTATTGGATTTTTACCGAATGGGTTTTCCATTCTGGCAAACGGGTGAGAGAACAATATTTTTCCGCTGAGGCCTATATTAGCATTTCTGCGGCACGACCAGTAAATAAAAACAGAAAATACATTTTTTTTTTCAATTTATTGTGATAATTTACAGCACAGGCACCACCAGGTCAGACAGCTTAAGACTCCCAGATGTACTGTATGTATCACAGCAGTCCTTTTCAGGAGACCCACAGCTCAGCCGCCAGACTGGATAAAAACGCGAAAGCTAGTATCAAACTCAGTACACGCGACACAAGGTCATTCAAGTTACTAGCACTATCACTGATATCTGCTGAAGACTTTCACTGCAGAATTATACAGAGACAGGGAACTTTTCTCTTCATGCACAGGACGTATTTCTTCAAGACGTACTGTATTCACACCTTCTGACTGAAGGAACGATACATCAATACTGATTACATCCGTGATTCATAATAGTGCTATCTTTATCAATCTTGATTGATACATGATTTGATTTCCTTGTTTCAATATTACATGGTTCTCAGCTACAAAAATAATTTCCATAATGTGAAGAGGTAGAAAAAAAATGACGCAGGATCTGAAAACATTTTTTTTTAAAATATGATCTTGAAATATGATCTTCAAAATGTCATAACCCAAGGCAGCTCACAGTACTAAAGGTTAATCCACTAGCATCTTTAAAACAAGAGGTGAAGATCAGAAGTGCAGTGGACTGGAAGGGTAGCCTTAAACTATGGCATGGATCTGACTATCTACCCCACTTGGTCGCACCATAAAGACAAGCTTCACACGGTGAATTTTACCAGCTTTTAAAGTGGGTTACAGAGGGTGAGGTGATTCAGTGAAGGAATAGTAATGAATAATTTCATACAGCATCTATAAAAGCAACCACCGCGAGGAGATTCAGAATGCATGAAACAAAACTAAAGAAAATTACAAGTCCAACAAAAAAAATCAGATGCAAAACATTCAAAAAAGCTTGGGCTAAAAGCACCCAATATGGCAAAGATCCTAAGCTTTTTGGAATAGGATCCACTGAGTGCAGGGCAGGGATCTAAAATTGACCTCCTGGTGGGCCTAGTGCTTATTGGTCTTTGTTCTACCCCTGTTCTCGGTAAGATTGTTGGTTTAATTATTTTAATTGGCCACATGAGTGTAAAACATTAACGAAGTGACGGTATTGTGCAACCAACTGTAAAACACCCCAAGAAAAATCTTGTTCGTTTTAGAAAATAATCAGGTCGTTTCATTCACTTCTCAGGTTGGAATCAAAACCCAAACACACAAGGACTTCCAGGGTATGAGTTTAAACCCATTGTCCTACTGTCTACTTGTTATTCTTCCTGCCCGAGTAGTCAATTAAACAAATTCACCTAATTATCTTCTTCAACACATACAGGATGTAACTCCAGGTCATTTTTCAGTTGCTCACTCAAAACACTCACTTCGTTAAAGGTACAGTAACCATGTTACAAGTATTCTACTTACATATGCAGGTAATTAATTAGACCCAGTGTGTGACAGAGCTCATGAAGGAACAAAAACAGGAGGGCTCTAACCTGTCCAAGAACTCAGTCTGACTCCCCTGGTGTAAGTCAACAGCAGGAACACATAGTAAACCTTTCTGAGGGGAGTAAGCAGATAACATATTGGCTATATAAATGGTATATATACAGGGGGCCCAAGCCATTAAAAGCCTTGAACATAAGCAAAAGTATGTTAAAATCATATCAAAAGCTGACAGGAATCCTGGTAAGGACTCAACTCAAAGACAGGAGTGATATAATCATTTTTGCATGGCCTCCTTAGGAGCATAGTGGCTGAACTTTGAACATATTGCAACTCCAGAGATGTTTTAGAGAGTCCTGTTAGTAAAACGTAGGAGTAATCATTAATTTATTTTTTTAAAGATTGAACTGCTACACACACAGAATAGTACACAACAAGGCAATATGTCTCTAACTCGACAATATTCTGCTAATGCTATCCAAAATCAACCCAGGATCAAACAGCGTATTGGATTGGATTGGATTGAATATCAAGCGCAGCATTATCCCATGACATGGTGGTAGCTCTGGTTTTACGTATCGCAAAAGAGGAACCCAATAATATTGTTGGCATTTATCTAAATTTTAACCTGAGTACTAGGTTTAGTGTGAACACGGATCTGAATATCATCTGCATAGAAACTGTAATTCAGTCCACGTTTACCCCATAATTGACCAAGGGAGAAAACATCATTACTAAATTGCAGAGAGCCCAGTTCTGAGCCCCATGGAACTCCAGATGTAACACATCAGAAGTAATATAATAAAGAAAACTAAACTGGGGATATTCAGCAAGGTGTAATTTAAGCCATTTAAAGGCAGCACCAGATATGCCAAGCTCTCCAGCCAAAGAAGCATAATGCCATGATTTACAACACCGAAGAGCATACACTAGATGCCATACTGTTTGCAGCATTAACAGGTGCTGCTTCAGTGTTTATTACCTTAAGTCAGACTGAAAGGGTTTCAAACGTTGGAGAACAAGATTATTAGTCAAGTACTAATGAACTATTAGACTAGTTTAGAAGAGTGAAACAAAGCATAGTGCTCATTAGTGTACTAGCACAGCATCCAGTAACAGACAGCACTTCTTTTAAAGGCCTAGTTCAGCAGCAAGATAGACACACTCAACTAAACTCAAACACACACCAGCTACAGCACAATGCAACAAGCACAATAGGCTTTCTTTGCGATTGATTTGCTTCTGCCATGTTGCATCAGTGTATTAGCAAAGCACCATATCTGTGAACTAGACACATTGTTCAGAGCCACAATCACAGATTACAATCAACAGTGGAGTGCTTTGAAACACATCTGCACCGACCTGAGCTCTCAGTGTTGGAATTTTCAGTCTGCAATTCCCCCTCAAACACTCTCACTTGCAAGAATAAGTGTTTTAGCAAATTATTCTTATAGTTTAGCTATTTTAAGATAAGATTACTTTATTAGCCACATACAATTTCTTGTATTAGGAATTTGTGTTTTTCACATACCCCAGCTTGCTCTCCATGAGAAACACAGGCACAATGTTTATGTTTAACATGCATTACAGTGATCAAGAAAGATTATATTGTCAAAAAGCAGGAAGTGTGTTTAGCAGAAACTATAAGAACAAAAATGGCAGATAAACCACAAATTACGTCGATGAAAACATTTCCATAGGGCCGTGGTTAACACTTTCCAGATTTTCAGAAGGACCTGATCACACAAGTAATTCCAGCATTCGTTTATTCTGTTTTCAGAAGAATGACATAAAACAAGACAAAGAGACACAATGAAAGACAGAGAAGAAAAGAGATGCCTTGTACAACAGCAGTTCATGCAGCCACGCCCACAACTGCTAGAACAGCTTGCTGAAAAGCTGATAAATAATCAATCTGTCAAGTTATAAAATACATCAATTAAATAGGAATTTTAAATTAGATTGCATTTAATTTCTACATTTTGTACCTGGAGGTTTTCTATTGTAGACAGAACACATGGCTTACCTATGCCCAAATAAAACAACAGCATGCTCTCAACCAAACAAACTGCTATAATTACATTTCTAACAAGGCAGCGTGACTGCACTACCTAAGCATTACATTAGTCCCCTTTGTATGCTGAGTCCAGAGTGTCACTGGCTGAGTTAAACAAGAAAAACTACTGCTGTAAGCTGACTACAAACACCCACTGTGACATTAGAAAAGAAACGATTTTTAGCTTTTCCTCGCTGTGAATATTGCATCACTAGTATTTCAAGTGACATACATTATAGTTATTTGTAAGTACTTCTGTGAAGAATAACAGAAGGTATTTGGCTTCTCCCATTAGTGGTCCAGACAGATACAGCTCTAGCCTGCAGTAGGAAAAACTGCATTTGGATACAAAACCAGCTGGGAATAGAAAACAACTCAAGTGGACTTCCTTATACAAAACTAACACTTACTGTATTATAAATGCCTGAAAACAGAGTTGGTAATTTAAGAAAAAAAAAGATTAAAGGTCAGATTTGTATATATACCTCAAACACCATACATATATATAGGAAATCTTTCAAATTCTACTTAAATTATCTTTAGAGTATTTCATCAATGTTATGTGACAAAACAGCAAACAAATCAAACAGTATGAAAGCTTTGTGTCCAAACAGTATGATCATTCTGATAGGAAGGACAGTGACTTAAACAGTGAAGGTTTTTCAGAGGCCTCAGGACACTGGAACCAATTTTAAACTATTCAAATGTATTCAATTACAATAAATACATAAAAAAGATCAAAAGAGAAAATCTTTTTTTAAAACAACTTGTGTTAATCCTTTCACAAAAAAAAAGACACTCACTGAGTCTTTAAGAAAGAAGAAGTCTCAGAAGGGCTGACCAGAACCATAATGACCTTAAGACACTTAAAATGAGATCTGACAAGACATGAGGAGTGGAGAGGAGGCTACCTCATTTGACAGTTCAGTGCATTGTGCATTACCATTATTAGCTACAGACAGCAATTAGCAGAATACACCAGCTGCTGCGAATATTCGAAGTGTTTGTCAATCCCTAAAGAGATCCCCAAAACTGGCAGAATTATGCTCCAGTTGGCGCCAAACGGCTAACAAAGGCAATACTGCTGAGACACATTCTTCTGACCAACGCAGGGCAGGACGGCTTCATTATCAGGTGTTCAAGTAGAATCCTAAGTTCTGTGAACAGAGTCCTGACCAGGAGCAGGAAAAAAAGAGACATTAATGCAAATGGCTTAATAAAAATACAGAAGACTGAATGAACAGAACAACTACATTAGTGTCGGGAGAAGGCAAGGACAGAACAATCCTAACCAAAATCGTTTAACAATGAGGATGGTCGTGGTTTTAGTCAAAGTACTATTAGCATTACATAGTATGATTATGACAATTGTGAATTATGACGATTTAAAAAAATCATCGGGTACAGGTACACTGCTGAATTTACACTTTTTCTTTTTGTGGATTGAACTTAAACTCATCAACAAATCTTGTTCTAACTAAAAGAGCTTCAATGTTTATTCTCATTAGAAGAGCCAGCAGTTCTCTGTGTAATTGCTGTGACCCCACTGTGTTGAGAGGATAGTTACAATATTTCGCGTACTCTTTTTTTGAGGTGTAAATGCAAATGTCTTCTTCGCTGTCTGATGTTAAATGTAAACATGACTGAGGTGCCAACCCATTTGTTGGAGGAGGAGGCAGGCGAGAGTGGTATTACGAAGGGGGGTAAAATAAGTCAAGAATACTGTATTTTTAAATCGGGGTTGGTAAGACAACAGTTGAAAACAACAAACTGCCATCACATAACGAGACGTTTTTACCACAAACGTTTCACGTGAGCTCAGTGAGGCGGACTGGTGTGTTTTATTTTGCACGGCCGTTCTCGGACGTCTCTTACCGACAGTACGGGTTTCTTCGAGAAGAGTAGCGCAGAGTGAGGAACCTGTAATAAATGAACGGCTGGAGAAGGCTGCCCTGGCCGCTGGAAGAAACGACACATGGTACAGACTTGTCAGTAGACGCACATTTCTTTGGTTCTACAGCCAAGAGTTTAGATGTTCTAGTACAATCAAACGGAACGTGATTAGAAAGTCTTCTGAAGCTCAAACATGAACTACAGCCACCAGTCTCACCATGGTGTTGCCTATTGTTGAGCAGTACAAACTGCTTAATCCTGAGAGGCAAAATCTGAAAAACACTTGCAAAACCTCAAAAACAGCAGGTACGAAACTGAATCACTATTGAAATGCAACTGGTTCTCAAAACGTTTTCACAACTTTATTCCAAAGGTATTCCAAAATACACTTTAGCTCAGGACAAAGATGATAAAAGTAGATTGACCTTACCTGAAGAGCATAAAGACTGTCGCAGGCATCAAGAAGATCTCATTACAAGCAATAAACTTGAGAATATTTTGCTGGTTTGCTGTGAGTTTATCCAGAAATCTCCTCACAAAGGCCAAACTTGTGGGGCCCATTGTCTACAGAAAAATTGAAAGGCACACAAATGACCATCATCATACAGCTGTTCTAGGGCACACAAGAGAGAATTAGTCTGCAACCTTTTGCAAAGTCAGTCTGTGACAAGAACTGAAAAACTTGAAAAGAATGGGTTTCTACTGTATGGACATCTATGAATTCGTCATCATTTAAGCCACTTCTCCTGGTGATATTCAGGTCACAGCACGTTTAAGACTACGCCCAGATAACCGAGCACAAGGCAGAAAACACAAGACAATCAAACCTGATCATCATGGATGTGGAAGGAGAATGAAGAACCCAGCAAAACGGGAAGAACATAAAAATTCCACACAAACAATTTTTTATTTGAATCTGTGACTGGGGACCAAAATTAAACCTTTAAGTGGTGGAGCAAATATGTTCCTTCTCAGTGGTTTTTGTACCGCATACTGTATTGAGACCTCTTTTTAAGTAGAGAACCTTTGTATTGAATACTGAGCAATTTCCACTTTAATGTAACTGACTGCTTTTCTCTGGATGCTTTAAAACCAGGATATAAAGCAAGGCATTTAAAATTTCACCAAGCACTGGAGAGACCTCATTTAGAATACAATGCGCAATTCTGTTCTCCCCGTTAAGATAAAATACATTTCAAATATGGAATCATTTTTTTTTTATTGTTCTGCTCATGAGAAGGGTCAAAACGAAGTTGGGAAAAAATGCCATACTTACGTCTAGAACCTTTTTTGTGTAAGTGGTCGCATGAAGCAAAGAAAACAGGAAGACTGGGAATATGCTCACTGCAGGCAGTGGTTAAAGAAAAGTCTGGCTGAGGCAGGAAAGAAAACGAGTTCATACACTAAGCACGGGGCTTTGGGAAATGCAGAAAGCCTCCCGATCAATTCACAGAAAACGAACCAGCAAAAAAAAAACAGCAGACACAGCTGCCGGGTAGTTCCCTCAGTTGTCACGCCCTCTGCAGCCAGAGGGCGCTCCTTCTCTGTCCTGTCCCTAGTTTCCGGTCTGCTGTCCTTCCTGTCCCTCTCTTTCCCTTGGGCTATATATTTCCGGGTCTTGCACTCCGTCCTCGCTCAGCATTGACGTTCGGATGTCCTGAGACCCGCCTAGCACCAGGGCGCCCCACGTCCGCTCCCTGAGGGCATAGGTTTCTATACGGCATTCCTGAACTCTTTGCACTAATGAGCCCGGGCCTTTTTCCCCGTCTCGCCGTTACGCATATGGGTCTTTTTCCGCTCTCCTGCTCCCCACGGTTAGTCCCTTTGGACGTCCGTGACATCAGTCTCACCAACTCTTTAAAGGATACTGGTCACCGGGTAGGAGTTGACGAGTATCAGGGAATAGAGCAGGTAGTGACAGCTGTCCTCCTGCAAGGCCTGGGCCAGGAACGCTCTGCTGAGCTGGAAGTGAGGTAGCCTCTGGTGTAGCCGGAGTGCACTGGTCAGGGCGTTGGCCAGCAAGGCACGCTGATAGAAACTAGCTGCCTCCTGGATGCTACAGGAATAAAAATGAAGCAGGTCAATTTAACAGCCCTAAGAGGGGAGAAAAGTATGCAATGCTTCTTCCACAAACTAAACAAGGAACTCACACAACACACAATCAGAATGAGAGTCTTCCAGTGATCTGGGATGTGTTCATGCCCACGGAAAGCCCTTGCACTACAGAGTAGAAAGGCCATGTGAGAAGGGTTAGAGGTAACTACCTAACCTAACGTTAGTATTTTACCACTCTGCCTTCACAGACCAATCTTGAATTCCACTGCTACACTTTGAGCAGTGCAGGACTTCATAACTGGTACTTGTATCCCCATCATTTAAGAAGACCATCTGAAAAAACGGCAAAATTGCTGTTCACCTCAGAAGTACTCTTCCACAAGAAAATCTCTGCCAACCTGCTGGCCTGCCATAACACCGATACCAGTTGTTAAGATCATAGAGAAATATGTTTAATTTCTCTTTCGTCAACGAACGCCACTGAAGATCAGCTTCGGGACACACATCACCAGCGGACCCGAAGCAGGGAGCTGCTCCCAGGTGCTCACAAGCTGCATGACAGGACTGCATCTCCTGCTCACCCTGCAGTTGGACTTGACCCTGCCTGTTGGCGCCATCTACGCCAGAACTATCAGACAGTGGAAAACGCTGATTAAAGCGCAAAACTCATGCAAAAGACCAGTCAATTAAGATAATCTTCTGGCTGTCGGGTATGAGAGACCTGAAAACGACATTAATACAGAAATAAAACCTAAAACTAGAGACAACAAATCACTCGGGCTCTCTGAGCACACAAGTTGCAGGACAGTAAACTCGCCAATTATCATTCCTATTAAATGAACAACCACAAGAGGGAATTTAAAGTGACTTTGGATGTATTGCATCATCTTTCCAAGGCATGCACAAAAAAGCTTGCATAGTTCTCTTCCTGACTGGGGTATCACGTCTTCAGTAATATTATGTTTTGGTGTCTCTTGCAGGTACAGCAACACTGTGCTTGGTAACGCTAACCGTGAAAACATCTTGTAATAAAGTCTTATTTTTTCATGTTTAGAAAACAACATAAGCACCAAACAATTTAAGGTATATTCTTCAGCTTTTAGGACTCATACTCAGTTACACTGGAGGACATAGGTTACAACCCCTTTCAAAAGCTAAAAAGACGCATCTGTCCCACTGTGGCTAATTAACGTGAATCAAGGCAGCCTGACTTTTTTACAGGTCCACACTTGAAGAAAACAGCTTATTAGTCAATAGTTTAAACAGAGAAGCACCCAAATTATGGTCAGGATGAGAAAGCAGTTAGTATGTGTCAATGTTGGAAACATTAACTCCATGTGGTTGATGTTCTGTTAGGATATCCTGTGCATGGAAAAAAGCTGAATTTAAAAAAGTAGCAAGTCTAAGGAAAAATACAGCTAAAAGGGAAAGAAATGAACCGATCGTTATTTACTCACCCCAAGACTGGAAGAATGAACAGAATGGAGCAGTACACAGTAAAAAGCCGTGAGAGCCACATGGCAGTTTCCAGCTTGTTGCTCAACATGAATTGCTGGAACAGAAGCAAAAAAAAATCTGAAGTCGTAACACAACAATACTAATAATAATAATTAATAATAGTTGCTTACACTTATATAGCGCTTTTCTGGACACTCCACTCAAAGTGCTTTACAGGTAATGGGGACTCCCCTCCACCACCACCTGGATGATGTGACGACAGCCATAGTGCGCCAGAACGCTCACCACACACCAGCTATCAGTGGGGAGGAGAGCAGAGTAATGAAGCCAATTCATAGATGGGGATTATTAGGAGGCCATGATTGGTAAAGGCCAATGACCTTACGATGACGGCCAGGACGCCGGGGTTACACCCCTACTCTTTTTGAGAAACACCCTGGGATTTTTAATGACTACAGAGAGTCAGGACCTCGGTTTAAAGTCTCATCCGAAGGACGGCGCCTGTTTACAGTATAGTGTCCCTGTCACTACACTGGGGCATTAGGACCCACATGGACCGCAGGGTGAGCGCCCCCTGCTGGCCCCACTAACACCTCTTCCAGCAGCAACCTTAGTTTTTCCCAGGAGGTCTCCCATCCAGGTACTGACCAGCCTCAAACCTGCTGAGCTTCAGTGGGCTGCCAGTTGTGAGTTGCAGGCTGCTGGCATACATCATAGCTCAAATATCCCAATAAGAACATTCACATTGCAGATGTTCACTCCTCAGTTCTCTGAGTGAGGGTACTGAAACACACCATCAAAACACTTACACGCTGTCAGAAATAACAGTTCGCATACACTTTGCAAATGAGTGCCAATATGTTTCTGCTGATAACACTGCATTGAGCAATGAGATTTAGTTTATCAAAAATAAATACTTTCGTATACACTACTTAATTTTGTCTCTCTTGGGCTAACATCTGTAGTGGAGTTTTGAGTGAAACTAGAATAGTTTTGGTTGTATTTGGAATCAGCACCAATGTTTACAATGTATACACCTGATTTGGATTTGCTTTTATGACTAGCATTTGTGGACAGAGCTCTAATACAAGAGGGGTTTAATGAGGGCATGGTCACCAACATGTCCCCATTGATAAATTTCAACTGTTCACGTGTGCACACAAGAGAGTTTCTGGCAGCGGAGTGGTGCATCTCTCACTGATGTCACTGAAAGCTCACAGGGGTCACAAAAGCTACTGCTGCTTTGTTTGGATGGTCAAGGTGATCCTGGCTAAATAACAGCCAGCCCCAGCTGCAGAGATCTCCTGGCAGCTGTGTCCCACCACTAAGGGAATCACCAAGAGCCCAGACCCAGGCTTGAAGTGATGACACAAAGGTCAGAGGGAGACACAACCTACTGTACACAGAGATGAGAGTGCTAACTGAGAGTGAGCAAAATCACAACATGTCTCAAATGTCCTAGTTGGTGCAGTGGGACAAAGGAGCTGATACAAGGACTTTCAGACTGCTTTCTGACTTTTGACTGGCTTGATTCACTGTCGGTTGCAGAGAACTTGACAAACACTTTAATTCAGTGTAAAGCAACAATAGAGGATCTTAATGACTTGGATCACCTAGATTTCAGACGTAGACACAAGAATGTCTCAGGCTCAAATGTATATAGTCTTTGCAAAAACTAAAAGAAAGCATTCTATGCAGACTGTTTTGTTGAATTCTGATAATGTTTATACATTTTCACATTTTGAAAGCACTGCATATAAACCGTAGAGAGGCAGAAATAGAGAAGAAATGTTCTTGTGCTCAGATGTCATATGAAAACCAAGTTATCTTCACAATGTTCTCATCTAACTTGTACACTGTTGAACCTCTCTCAAACGTGGTGATATAAATTCAATTTCAGTACTAGACTGAAAAAGTACTCAATAAATTTATTTAATACACTCATAATTTAAGGTTTTTAATATTAAAAGATAAAAAGTTACACATGAAAATGACAGTGTTGACTGATATTACAGAACATAACAACAAGAGGCTGCTTTTCAAATTATTTTAAATGAAAGTTATTTTTTTCAGTAATATTAAACCAAGTAAGCCACATTTTAAAGAAACCAAACATTAGAATTTTCTATGCTATCATTGAAAACTGTTTCACAAAAAAAAAAACCCTGAATATGCAGCTTACAATATTGGAAATAATATTTAATAACATTAGAATGACTGTCTTCATTTTCTGTTCTCAGGTGTGTTCTCCTGCCCTTGTGCCAGATGACTTCCAGGTGAGTTTTCTGGCTACTGCCGATGAAACCCACAAGAACAAGGCGAGCTTGGTCAGGACTTACCACAGGCCCGACCTGGGGGGGAGGGCTCCTGTTCTCTGTGTCTGCCATCGCCGAAACTCTGCTGCACCCTCAAAGAAAAAGAGCCCCAAGCTGAAAAGGCAATACAGAGACGTTAACTGGTGCTTCAATGATACAATTGTCATCACTGGCTATAATCCTGTATAACTTTCCTGTATAATCAGCTGTGCCGTATAAGCACCATGCAATTAGTTGCTAAAGGAACAGAGGCCACCTAGTCTCAGGAGCTCAAAAGATGAGTGAATGATGTAATATTCTCAAACAGATGACGCCACTGTGCAGCACAGTCTCTCACTACAGATTCACGTACTGCAAAACCCTGGGAGAATCCTGGTCTAAACCTGCAGGTCCCGGTAATGTTTTTTTTTATATTCAATCTCATGTTTTTACTGCCATCAGTTATTTCTTTCACTAGCAAATGCACCACCATCCAAATTAGCGTTATAAGAGTCCAGGCCCAGATGAAGCCAGTTACAATCCACTCAGAATGGGGAGAAATAATGCCAAGAGGACAGAAAAATGAACTCAACAAGCAATGCATTACATTTGACAGTAATAACTGAAAGTACAGGAGAAACAGCAGATAGATTCAACCACGTCATCCTTCTGTATGGACAGTAAAAGTCCAAAGCATAACTACAGAAGGACTATTTCCTAGATTTCCAAAGTCACCTTTTTCCCCATGGTTTTACAATACGTTTACATCAGTCTTTATTAGATTACTTCCTGTTACTTCTTATATTTAAAAACAACTAATGATTTTGCTAAACAGTGTTTCCTGCACCATTTGTTTCTATTGTCCAAGTGAAGAAATGGTGATTGAAGCCAGCTTTAGTGATGACCACGAACTGTGAAACGCGTTCTAAAACAGAGTTCTAAATTAAGTAGATTACATAGAGTATCATGGCCTCAATAATCCGATGGATCGGATACTCGCCATAGCAGATCCTCAGTATTATTTTGCACTCAAACAGTAAAGAGATTCCTTTCTGGGAATGTACGAGATGAATTAAGGGGACATAAACACACGAATGAAAATTGCTTTTCTGAAGAGTGCGGCTGAAGAGCTGTCCCCCTCTACTTGTTCCCTTGAAAATTTCCTTCAGAAAGATGACTTGCATTTATGTGTATGAATACAAAGCACTTTGCACAAAGAGCAGTACTAAACTCCACTGCACTTAAGCGAAATCGATATTTAGTGTCCAATATTCAACTCATCAGGAAAAAGCACTAAAGTTAAAAAAATAACTTCACACAGAAGCAGCGTTATTCCTACAAATTGTCACGGGCCTAAATGATGATGACTTTGATTATTAAAATAAAATATCGACATTGCACTACACGCGTTGCTTTTACATTCACCAGATTTCGCGTACCACATCAGTATCAACAATTTCTTTAAATATTAAAAAAGTTAGACGCATGCTATTGAGAGAGCTCCTTTGCCGCATTAGTGGAAGATGGAAGATTATTACGAAATACCTTTCTGATCTGTAACAGGCGTTTTGCAAACGCGGGGCCTAAGCTTCACTTTCAAAAGGGCATCATGACTCCAGTCGGCTGAAAGCCTCAAAAAAAGAAAGTCATTGTGGACATCAGGCTTCACTCATTTATTTCTTAAGTCAATGTGTAGTCTCTCTCTCTCTCACACAGGAATCTGAATGAAAACGATCCCGAATTTTCCAGAATCTCACCGGTCCGCCAACACCTGCTGTACCGACAAGAGGTTTACGAAATGGTCAATGAAGGAATGACCTACCTGCTATGTTTTTTTCTGAATAATCAAGGTCCTTGGACTTGAATCAGAAGCCCAACAGAAAATGACAGTTTATAATACCTCCTCAGATGAAAGCGGAAATTATGCAGCAGAGTAATGGATAATAATATGGCGAGGTTGAACTGGTCCGGCTGTGATTACTGTCCCCCGGACACCCTGCTGTTGTGTGAGACGGTTCCCATGGTGGCACTTAAATTAAAAATATATATACTAATTTGATTAGGAATACGCCAATATCTGTCCAATTTACATTTAGATGGGAAAAGTACAATTACCTAAACATTTAAATCCATAATCGTTTAAATGCTACTGTGGGTAAATGCATTCTCTTCCACAGTAGCATGTCCTCGCAGGTACATACTGTAGATTTAGCCTGGGGTACATAGATTAAATAGTTATTTTTACAAGTAAATAGTTGCAGTTACTGATTTCAGCAGAAAATACACCACTCCTAGTTTTTTGTTACTGTTGACTACTTAGATGACACCTGCGATCTCTTCTAGATCCTTCAATATGCATTACAATATGCATTATTATTAATGTGTCTGACAGCTTTATGGAATACTAGCTACATTTATATAACTAAACATATTACAGAGGAAAGTACCTTTACCAGTACCTGGTAAGTGAGCCCCACATAGGATTTGACATTACAACTCTCTAGTTATAGGGCTATCCCTGACCACTACTTCACACTGCTGCCTGAAAGCTGATGTTTTCATTAGTGTTTCATTGTCTCGATTCGGCAATGTAACTTGTTAATGGTGTTTTTATTTTTTCCTGTTCCGTCCTGTTTGCGAAGCACTTACTGTCATTTTCCACTCGAGTCTGAAAGCCACTTGTTCCAAAAAGCCACTTGTTCTTTGTGAATTTTGCAGCAACCTGGAAACTACCCTGGAAGCATAGGAACAAGACCGTACATTACTGTAATTTTTATTAATTCATTTTTAATATTGTACAGATTGTTGTATGTGCTTAATATAATATAAACATGTTTTGAGCTGTGCTATTTCATTTCTAATGTGCAGAAAAGTAATTACAGATAGCAGTAGCAGAATAAATAGTATATACTCTATAATGTTATAAAGCGGATTCACTTAGTTGACTCAAAATTAGTCCTCTTTCAAAGATGCGTAGCAGTCATGACCCATGGGGACGTACAATGTAACTGACCAGAACTAAGCAAGTAAGCCTGGTCCGACCAATGGAAGGAACCCTAACATTCATCTGAAAGTATGGGTGTAGTGGCTAAATCTACACCATTCTGAGCTTCTCTGGCTCACTTGGCTGAAGTTTGGATTCTGTCTTTAAAGTTGTGATTCGGATTTGATTTGCTGGACCATGAGTCTCGGCCGGGCTTGGGCTGTCTTGAACGCTTCTTGGGGTCGAGAAAGTTTCGGCCAAGCTCCTGTACAGTGATGAACCTCAGCCGGCCTCACCGTTTCTGCATCTTCTGGACTGGAGCACGATCATTCGGCACCTATATTCCAGTTTCTCTGCAGAACAGAGCTCCCTCTGTCTCATCGGTGATCTACTCTTCAATTCGCCTGCGTTGCCCGTTGCGTACAGCACTTCCACCAGCTACTGTATTTTGTTACCTCCTCAGCCTACTGGACGTCGTTTCTGACTGATGCAGCTCTTACAAGTTGAATAATTGATGATGAACAGGGTGAGAAAGACACATTGTATCAGACGCCCACAAAGAGCGTTTTTTTCCTTCTGCGGAGGCCCACCTGATTTACATTTCAGCCAGCACTTCTGAATGTAGGATTCAGTTAGAGGGTCGATACCAATTAGAAATCCTTCCATGCGCTGGAAACAAATTTTCCAAATATGCCCCAAACAAGAAAACGTAAATAAAAATCACCGTGATTAAGAAATTCGGCTGGTCCAAAACCAGAAGAGACAGTGTTAACCCAGGACCTAGATTGTGAACCGTTGTTCCAAGTCCCAGCGAGCCGAGGCGCAGAAATCTTGTAGTACCCAGAGCTTGCCACCAGAGGGAACTGGTACCTCAGTAAGTCTCTGTGGAACTGAGATATAACTCACACTTTTACCCCCATGCACTTTGCTCACAGTAAAGCGCTATTGAACCTTCTCTCATTTGGTTACCGTTGTGAATACCTGGGTGCACTACCGATCTCTCGTCCAATCAGTGATCTCTGTATTTCCCTATAGGTTAATATTTTCCCTGGTTTGAAGGCCTAAGACGGAAAAAAATAACACTCTTTCCTTTCTGTGTATAGATTTCTTTGTTCTCAAATAACTTTTGATTGAAATGAGATATATATGTGTAAAACCCAACTCGTGAATTGATCTTTCTCTTAAAAGTATGAATATTGGCTACCGCAATATTGCGTTAGAGCAATGCGGTTGCTCAGCTGACCTCAGTAGCGCACTGACTGCTGAAGATCACGGCTCTCCCGGTGGTAGATAACAGAAGGCTGTGCTGCTTGCGAAACAAGAGCTGACAACAGTCAAACGTTTTGTCCTTGGCGCTACACACACACCGCATTATGGAGAGTGGTCAACTTCCATTTCGTCATTGCACATTTTTGTCAACTTTGTATCGCCTACCTGTCCTTGTTATTGCATTTACGAGTGTTTAATGCTTTAAGCTCCATTTCAAAACAACCCCCCCCCCAAAAAAAAAATAAAACAGGCTACTTCTCTCATACACATATGGCTTACTGAGATTGCTGTTGTCGACGTACAGAAAATAATCAGCAGTGGTAGTAACAACTAGTTTAGCTTCGTAAATCTCACAGGATAGAAAAGAGAAACTAAACTTGATAGGTAAATTGTACTGATACTGATACAAGAAGATAAACGTTACAGGCCGGATTAACCCATTCAGCACATCTAGCTTGTTTGATCGCTAGTATCTAATAACCCTGAGGATCTCATCCAGTCGCTTCTTGATAAAAAAAACCCAGGGCATCATCATCGAGTAAACGGGTAGTACCGTCTGTCCAGGCGGCCTATTAGCACTATGAGATCTCTATCTCAAACATCGAAATTGCAGCCCTAACAAAGCTGTTATGCTCATCTAAACCAGCGAGATAAAAAAAAATGTTTTTTAATTATACTTAATGTCGATATTAAAGATCACGATTACAGTTTATAGTCTTCTTCTCTAACAAGCGTGTATAAAAGCTGATAAAAATGAGGTAAGTCTATCTCCTTTGAGTTCAAATATATTATGATTATTATGATTATGATTATTAAACAACCCGAAACACTCGTAATGCGTTCTCCTCTTTGAAAATGTATTACAATAAACATCAATAAGGCCATGTCTCCGCCAGTAAACACGCAAACGAACAGAGTTAACAGCGTTTCACAATTAAAGGCTATACGATTAATTATAGGCTACCAATGTCTTCCAGGTGTCCGTTTTCTGTAAAAGGCTCTCGATGTTATGTTGTCTCGCAAAAATGTAGTTTTATTTTTATGAGTCGTGATTCTACCACTGAAGTTCGAAGGTTTTGTTAGCAACATCATCGCGGATGAGCAGGTTCTTCTATTCTGTGCTGTTAGTCTGCTGCACGTAGCAGAGTTGGAGCAGGTCCCGTGCTGTACACACTTTGTCCACTAGAGGGAGATTTGGAAACTTCCACATCCCCTTAATCGAGGCAGGCAGCGGCAGAAGGTAATTAGTTTATATGTATATAATATTAGATCATACGGATAAGTATAACGTGTTTTAAAAGAATATACCATAACTTTAATGTTTGTTAAAAAAGGTCTGTTTACGTGATTGGCAGAGACCCGTATAATGCTGTTATTTGAAATTGTTTTAGCATCAACAGAAAATGTAGGCAATGTAAGCAATGTTAAATCTAATTTTTTTCTGTGCAAAACCTAATTAGGCATTTAAAAAAAGGTTAACGCCAGCGCCTGAGACGGTTTTTGTTTAATAATCCTATTACTGACGGCTCATCATGTATAAAATGGTGCCGAAGGATGCAAAGTTTCCACTTGTTTAAGTGAATGTCTGAGAAAGAGACAAAATATGCTACTGTAAGGGAATGGCACCGGGCGGATATAGCGCATCTCGGTTCTCCTTCGATGTAAGTACTGTAAAGATATCGTCTTTTTTAATTGGTTCGTTTTTTTCCCCTGCTTACTCAGTAATGTAGCTTTTGGTATTTTCGCCTTCCTCTTTTCTTGTACACTGTATTTTATGCGGCTCCCGGTTTCTTACGCAGCGCTGCTGAGATACTGCCGGTGAAATCACCTTGGAGAATAGATGCTTCTGAATGGCTTTATTAGTGCTGCACTGGGGACATGTCATGTACGGGTTTCCTTAGTGAAATAAACAACCTGGCAAGACGCACTTTTTAAACTGAGCCTCGAAACAAAATCAGAAATATTATTATTATTATGGTAATCTTAAGACATTTGTCGTATGTTTTAAAATTACACTGCCAGACGAGCAGGACTATGTTTAAGGTGAATTAATTAAGGAGGATCTAGTTTATGATTATTCTAAAGAAAAACAATGCAAGTCCCGAATGTTCTTGGCTGAATCTGAAAAGCGTTTTCAACCTTCATTTCTATGTTGATCTTGGCAACTGTCAAATCGCATGTGTATGCTACCGATTAACTAGCAAATTACAAGAAATCAGCTAAACCGGACGATATAAATTCTAAACTTTCACGAATGAATATAATGGAACATGAAAAGAACAGGAAAAAAATTATTTATGTTCTATGCGGTGAATTATAATATACATCAATCCGTGTTCCTCCTCGTCAGGAAATGCGAGGTTTAATATTCACACATACTGTAGAGGGAAAATTGCTTAATAACAGCAGAATCTTTAACTTAATGTAACAGGCGTTCAATTGGAAACTCCAGTATAGAAATAACACGAAAAAATGCGTTTCTCGATAAGTTCTGAGAATTAGCTCATTCGTTTTCACTATCCGGTACAGATTTTAGGATCACTTTATTGTATGTTGTAGACGTTCACAAATATGATCAATTTGATTACAGACTACCTGACACCCGTAAACGGGAAAAACGATTAAACTGATGAGCGATGTTTTGCTTCCTACTGTTACTGTATATATTAAAAACGCGACGCAATTTCAAACGGTAGAAATTGAAGAAAGAATTCGTTTAGGTGGATAACTTGTT